GATCAAAAAACTGTAAGGTTGGACCACGACTCAAGGCTAGTTGTCTCCTAATACATATCCCCTTCTGTGACGTCGACTTTGAAGAATCAAATTTCACGTCATACATTAGGCGTATCGATCATACATTCAACAATTTGATACTTGATTATTTGGTAGGGTGACAGAGTGTTAAAGGCATTTTGTTAAAGGCATTTGGTGATCAAAAAGGTACAATGGTTTTTTTAAGTTAGAAGCCTTCAGCAGATAACTAGGGGTAATTTTGTCATTTATGTCGACCTAACATGTCAGGTCGGACCGACACCCCCAATGCCATATCAGCTCGACACTGTCCTTATTGTTTTCCAATGGTCTCTCATTGCTTATATATAAATATAAAAGTTCAGACACTATTAAAATAGGTCCATACTACTTATAATTCTTCTTATTACTCTATTTTCGACCTCATCTATTTTAACTTACGTGTCGGAGTGTAAACACATAGAATACCCCTTGGCTTTGCCTCTAACTGTCATTCTCTTCTATCTATCCAAGATTTGATCCTAAAATCAGAGCTTGAAACAAATAGAGTTAAAACACATAGTCTAGGCTATTTATCTGATCTATGAAGTTGACTCAACTTGGATTGAATATTGGATAAAGATTTTTTAGTGTGATTTAGCTCAAAATATTAAATTATTAATAAAAATTTTTTAAATTTGATTTTTATTTAAAAATATTCAAATATTAATATTTCAATAACTTTTTTTTGAAAGTTTTGAGCTTTTTAGATTGTCGACCAAAGTTGAATTTCAAATAAAATTTGATTGGATCTTATTTGAATAATGAATTCCTCTAAAAAAAAAAAAAGGAAAAGAAAGCAAAATAATTAAATTTATATGCATGTACGACCGAACCAATATATATTTACCTAAAGCATTTTTAATTTTGAGTTGATAGAATATTAATGTACAATGTAATATGTTCTTACAATGCAAAACGTGATCCATGAAGTGGTTCTCCCCCAATAATTTATCCATCATAGCTGCTTCCATATCCATCGAGGTAAAAGAAATTCATCATTGAAAAGCAATAATAATTTACCACAAGGTTGTTAGTTGGTTGTATGTAACAATTAGTCAATGCATGATTCATGAAAAACAAATTAAACTTTCCTACCCAAGCTCTAGTAAGAGCATTATGATCATGATAAAATAACCATCCAAAAATCACTACATATATAATGTTCTAATTTCCAAATTAAAGCTCATATTATCCTTAGTTCCTTACAAGTTTCATAAACTTAACAAAGGGCAATTTGGTGAATTCATCAACAAAATTCCAACACCTTTGATACAAACTTCCATGTTAACTTGGTTTCCCCTTTAATTCTTTGATTTTGGTTCCTCTACGAATGTGTATCGAATTTCAAAACCTACTTTCCATTCACTTTTGGTGAAGCTTCTGCTCTTTCTCTCCCTTTCATTTCTTTCTTTGATATCTTATCTCTCCTTTTTTTCTCTAATTACCTTCCCCCTTCTCTAGCCTTGGTGCTGGTTCATGGATATTGAACCCTTGTGGGCTCTTGGGGGGTGGTTATTTCTTTTCCTTGATTGTATGGCAGCGCCTAAAACACCATCAACAGTCTCAGAGACCTATGCCAAACCCCACTCTTTCCTTCTCTTCCTTACCCTTTTCTTCATTTTCCTTCTACTCGTTAACCCTCCTACAAACCCCATAAACTCAACCAATGTCACCTCCTCTATCCCTTTCAAAAGGCTCCTCTTAGATACTTCCTCAAAACCTACCTCTTCTACCATGAAATTGCATCCCAAGCAAACACGAAACGTGAATACTTCGTCATCGTCAAAATCTTCACGTAGAGAGTTTGGAGCTGAAGCTCACGAAGTTCCTAGCGGTCCAAACCCTATTTCCAACAGGTAAGTTTGAGTTATGGAGACATGAACTTACGGGTTGAAGATGATAGAGTCCTGACGGAAAAAAAGTTATTTTTAATTTGTCTGTCATATCTTTATGAGTACCGTTTAGTGTTTAGTTCCGCCATTAGTATTGCTTCTCCTTGCTTTGAGGAGTTTGTTACCTTTGTTGTCATCGTCAATATAATCACTAGCATTACTTCTTTACTTTTTTCCCCTTTTTTTTTTTTGAACTAGAAATGTATAGGAAGAAAGATACTCTATATTTTTCTACATGTATGTATGCTATTTGTTTCATATATAGATGATGATGGTATGGCTTATATATTTACTTTTGATCTCTTTTATTAATTTTTTGATTAATTAAGTTAAAACGAATCTCCTTATTTTTGTGGTGGGGGATGGTTTGAAATTCCTATCTTTCATATGATTAATTTTTTCTTTTTAGTCTTTTTACAAGCGAAACATATATATAGTTTTTTAAGAAAATCTTGAAACTATATTGTGACTCCTAGTGGGTTGCCTGTTTCTTTTTGGTAAAAGAAAAAAAAAAGCCTTAAAATCCAGTGGAAAATCTAAGTTCCTCCTCTTATTTCAATGTATATTGAAGATCTCCTTGATGAGTCTAAACCTAGTACAAGGCAAATTGATTTTGACAAAAATAGATAAGAGGAATGAAAAGGAGACGATCAGGTCTTCAGTGCATGCATTGGTTTCCTTCCATTGATCTTATCTGGTCTTTAAAGCATATACAAGGTAAGGATGGGAAGATAAGAAGGGAATCGGCTGGACCAAAATGGCAGCAGTGTACACGTCACTGCGTCAGATCTGTGTCACAGTGAAGAAGAGATCAGAAGAACTTTTGTTTTGTCTGAAAATATTATTTGGTCAGTCATTTGGACTTTGCTTTTGTCTTCTCGAACACTTAATCCGAGAAAGTCGAGATGCCAAAGTCATGATTTGATAATTATAACTGTATCATTTTCCTGCTGGTGAATAAAATGCTACCCAATCATGTGCTTTCTGATTCAGCTAATTATTATGTTTTTTTTTTTTTTTTGGGTCCAAGACATCTTACTTTTATTTCAACAATTTGGAGGTTAGATATAAATGTTTTGATCATACTAACAAGTGGTTGATTCAATCGATTAATATTATTTTTCTCAATGAAGAAGTTTTAGGTTCAAGTTCTGTCGGTGATCATTTGTTGGGATCATCTCAAATACATGACTTGTAATCACCTGTCTTAAGCTGTTAGATATGACATATCTTACCCTGATTTAGAGAACTGAACAGTCTATCTATCATCAAATTTTTTTTATAAAAAAAAAAATGTTTTGACCATTGTCAGAGCATTTTAATTGAGATAATGATCAAATTGTAGGGAAAACCAAAATGTTTGTACTATACTAATATTTTATATTCGATAATTAGTATATCTATTTTATATTAAATATATATAAAACATGAATATTATTATGCCACAATTCATGTCAATAATTTTTGTCAAAATTATATATGAATTTTATTAAAATTTTAAATTATATTATATTTTTATTTTTTTCATATCATTTATGTATTATATTGTCGTGTCATATTTATAATTTTTGTATCTACAGTAATTTGTAAAAAATAAAAAAAAATTTGATAAAACTTACATTGTCATTCATTCTTGCTTCTTATAATCCTTCCACCTTATTGTTATGTCTTAGAATAAGCATTTTATGGGTAAGACATATATATATATACACACACACACACTAAATTAGTCCTATTAAGTATCACAACCACCAGTACCACCACCCCTCCCACCAACTTCAGTTGTGGATCGACCTGGAATCACCATTAGCCACTAACGCTGCCATCACCTCGGCCTTCAGCTAATGACCCCTCATTAACCCACCAACTAGAGTCATCACGTTCAAGTATCAACCTTGTTTTGAGTTCATCGCAATCACGATGAAATATATATCAGCCACATTCTGAACATGAAAGAGAAGTTTTGGCAATCCCTCGTAAAATGATCACTAACGATGAGAATATTTTACAGATTGGGTCCAGCTGCAATATATCCCAACTTTTGCCAATAACTTCTCCTACACATTTGACTTTGATTCCAACAGCTCCTTTCCAGTATATGCCTATATATTACACTACTTCTTTAGAAGAGTACTTGATTCATGTTGAGAAATTCCATTTTTAGTCAAAAAAACAATGATAGCAAAATGTTGAGATATTTATAACAAGGAGTTTCAAATCCCATCAACAAAACAACTTGGCCATTAAAAGAAAAGAGAAAGACCTTGATTTTAATTTCCATATTAATTCTTTTCAATATCCAGTTTCGTTTTCCTTGGATGCCTTATTCGAGACAAAATTAAAAGAAAAGTGGAGAGCAGAATGGGAGGAAATGATGGGGTTAGAGCTAGCTAGGAAAAGGCCAATAGCAGCCTATATAGCTAGTGAGTGTATAATACATGAATACGAGTATGAATCTTGAGCTGAGGAAGATGTGGCGCAAAAAACAAGTGGCCATTATGTATGAACCAAGTCACTTCAAGCTACCTTTTCAGCAACCCGATTCATCATGGAATTCAATGAAACCATTGAAGCCCTTGCTTTGGTGGAACCAAATTGGGGAGCGCCGATGTCCCTATGTGCCAGCCGTTACCTTCCTTTCAAATAGGTCCTTCCTTGTGTACTATACTTATTGAATTCCAGTTTCAATAAACGGCCTATCTTTTGCAAGGAATATATATTTTTTATCATAGGGTCAGTCCACCATATTAAGTACCATATTGTTAATTATTATCTTATGATATGACAAAAAAAAAGATTGAATTTAGAAATTCTTAATTAAATTCTATTTGGACATTTGAAAAAGGTTTAAAATAATAAAAATTTAAATTGCAACACAACCATGAAAATGGATGCAAAATTTAAATTATGGGAAAAAATGTGACTTTTGTTTTTATTCTTCAAGAAAAAAAGGAAAACATTTCAATTTGATGCCTCTTAGGAGCCCAAAAGAAAAAGAAGGCCCAAAAGCTATAATTTAATGGGTTTTAGTAGGCCGCCCAAGAAATTAAAATGACCCGACCCTAATGCTTTAACCCCTGAAGGCCTGAACCCAGTTGGCTAACGGATAGCTTAAACCCTACCCGGAGACTGAAAACCCCCACCGATGTTCATTCATAACTCCAAATTTCAAGTTCGGAATTGAAGAGAGAAAGAAAAATTTTCAACTCATTAAACTCCAAAGGAAAATCCCGTTTTAGTTTCCTCCAAGAAAATATCATAGAAATGTCTTTGAGACACCGGAATCTCAGAATAATTTCAAGCTTCTTGCCCCGTTTTTCCTCAGGTCTTTCTTCTTTTTTTTTTTTTTTTTTTTTCGCCTTTCCTTGATTCATTATTATTTGCCAATTAATTGTATGTTGATAAAATTTTCTTTCAAATTCAGGCTATCATTATCGACCTTGTAGACAAGTACTCAACTCAGTAGCTTCCTCTTGGAGTCCTTTGCCTCATCAATGCAATGAAATTAACACTAGATTTTCCGAGAGATTTTCTGGTAATTCTTTTTTTTTTCTTGCTATTTATTGAGCCACTTTATTTCTTTATATATTTTTAGCTCTCCTAATTTACCATAGACAGTCTCTTTTAGGCACTCAACAATTTCACAACTCTCTCGGGACCCTCCTTCTGAAACTCATTTAACGTCTTTCATCGAATCTACTTTCGATAAGCTTCGAGGTATTTAAACCCACTATCTTTTTTTTTTTTCTCTTTGAAATGATGTTAATTATATGATATAATGGGATTCTTAAATTTTCGATTTAGGTCCTCATCATTTCTGGTTGAATAGAGTTGCTGAAAACAAAGATTCTTTGAAGAAGGATGGGACGTTTTTAGTTGTTGCTGGAAGGTTCTTTGAGAATGTGGGATGTGATCCAGTTGTTATATTTGAAAAAGTGAAGTTGCTTCAGCTGAGGTACAGAGATAGTTGATATTTGTTTCTCTAAGCTTATTGAGTATTGGGTTTCTTTTTTCTATGAGAAAAAAGCCATGGTTTTGCTGTTGTAGGTTCTCTTCGCTATGTGTTATTGGTTTCCAGGATTGCAGTTCTATTTGCTCTGCTGATGATCGAAGTCAACTTATTCAATTGATAATGAAAGAATACATTACTTTTCCTATTTTGTTGTCAACCAAGAACTTTTCTCAGGTACAGTTTTGAAATGGATTTATATGAGATTATATGGTTGCAAAGTCATACTTTTCCATGAATGAAATGCTTTCCATAAACTTGTGAGAATTGATGTTTAGGGTTGCTAAATGCAACCCGTTTTTCTCTTCACATCCCAGGTTTTTTTTTTTTTTTTTATAAATGAAATTTAATTACCTTTTTTCCCAACTTTTCGGATATTATTTTCCGTAAGTTTCATGACTTTCCGAAAAGTCATGTACCTTTCCAAAAATCCATTTTCGGAAAGTCATGTACTTTTTTGAAAATGAATTTCTGGAAAATCATATACCTTTTTGAAAATGCATTTTTGGAAGGTGAGATAATGAAAATTTAAGAAAAATTACAAGAAAAAAAGAAATTTTATTATAAACTTTTATTAATTAATGTAATAAAAAAGTTATTATTAAAAAAATTATAAATTTTAAAATTAATAAAAAAAGTTAATTTCACTATTTTGGCCTTAAAGAAAGAATAAAATTTTATGAAACTCTAATTAAACATTTTATTTCTTGATGTTACAGAGATAATGAAAGAGCTATAAAAGTCCGATCAACATTTAAAAACTGAAACTTCTATAAGTTATACAAGTAATACTACTTAATATTACATAATTTTGTTAAAATTTAATGTGCTAATTAGAGAAATCAATTGTGATAAGTAGATAGAGAGATTTTTCCAAAGAGTTTAGTTTAGTTTGAGCTATTATAAAATTTTAATAATCAATATCAAGAAAAAAATATTTATTAAAAAATATGAATTTTAAATTTATAAAAAAAATCAAAATAGTAAAATTAACTTTTTATTAATTTTAAAATTTATTATTTTTTTATAATAATAACTTTTTTCATTATATTAATTAATAAAAATTTTCTAATAAAATTTTCCTTTCGTAATTTTTCTTAAAATTTCACTATCCTACCTCCCAGATAACTTTCTGAAAATGAATATCCGAAAACTAGTGAGAAAAGTTAATTAAATAATTTCACTTATAAAAAATTTTGAAAAAAATGCTGGGGTGTGAAGAGAAAAAATGGGGTTGCATTTAGCTCCCCTCTTGATGTTTACTTCAAAATCATACTCTCCCAATTAAGTCATTGCGTCAAATAAGGTTCCCTTATCAGTGAGCTGTTATTCTTTTGTTTTCTCTAGGCATTCAACATAGCATCAACCTTAGCTTATGAGATACCATTTTCTGCTAACCTCTTCTTTTATGTACTTACACATTATATGTAAAAATTGGTTGTTTATTGGAAAGCAATTGAAATAGGGGGAAAAAAAAAAGAAGGAAAGGAATGTCACAGTAGAGAAAAGCACTATTCATATCTTCCATTGACAACTCAGGGCAACCTGGAACTAGAAAACGAGTCTAAGCTTTGGCTCTTTTTTCATGATTTATTCTAAACTATGTCATGACTTTTCAGAACTGTAGTATATGGCTGTGTATGAGCTTACTTATTTTTCTGCTGCATTTATGATTTTGAATATGGTTTACAATACATTTACCATGTTTGACAGATTTTTTCATAAGTATCTGTTCTGTTGTATTTCTCAACATTATATATTTATCAAGAAGATTGACTAAGATTTCTTTTTCCCTTTATGTATTTAGTTGACAGATGAGGCATGCTTCATTTTGTGTAAAGATTTTAAGAATCCTCTAGTTATCCATGAGAAGGACCTGGATCTAGCAATGCTTAACAAAGGTATGTGTTTTTCTCATGTGTAACAACTAACTCTCTTCCCTTTGATGTAGTAGTTTTTACAGTGAGAATGTTTCATCAGAAATGAAACTTTTGCTGCTTTCAGTTTCGGTTACATTTTAGAACAACTGAGATATTACTTCTCAAACTAAATTTACAGCCTTTAGACTCCAAAATTCTTAATATGATTCGGTGAACTTTGAGCTTTCTTAATTTGCACATTGAGGAAATCATTTGAGGGATAACTTATGAATGCAGGCTATCTATTGTAGTTAGGATGGGTTGCCTTCACCTTCAAGATCGTTTCCTAAGAACTGATCGACTGATTATCAGTTTTATTTTGTTGTTTACCAGTTGTTGTATTTACTTGTTCATGTATTTTATTTGAAAAAACCTGTTGAAGTTTTTGTTTCAAGTAATTTGACTTGGATTAGTTGTTTCAACAATTATGATCAACAGAATATGTATCAATCCTAAAGCCTGAAAATGAGATGATGGACCTATAAAATGCATTGTCCTAAATTCTTGTCTTTGTGCCCCCTCCCCCCCCCCTTCTTTGTTTTCTCCTCTTCTCCTGTATAGCCATTTCTATTCCCTAAACTCCTACTTTTTGACATGCTTTTCCTTTCAACATGGTTATTACCATATTGAACCACTTCTTTTTTATGGCTTTTCTAACCTCTCTTTGAGTTTCATTCCCCTCTCACTGTAATTATCATTTAGATATGAGTATGGTTTTCTGAACTTTGTTTTTACTTTTATTTATGCACTTGCATGGCATATGCATGTGCACATGTTGGTACATAATTCTCCATGCATGTATGTACACATACTGCTACCTTTCTTGTCTTCTGATTTTGCTGTTTTTTTTGCAGCCATTGAGGAGTTAAGCGTGCAATACCAAGTCAATAATATTGCACTTCATAAGTTGAAAAGTTCCTGGTCAAAAGAAGCTGAGATCGTTAAGGAACCCCATTTTTGCACTGCTCTGCAGAATTTACTTCTTTACTTCCCTGGTATAGTTCTTTTATGGCACTATTTCTTGTGATTTTCCTTATAGTACGTCAGCTTTTCAGCAGTGTTATAAGAGGATGAAATGAATTTGACAAATAATGAGATCAAACTCTACTCAATACAGGAACTTTGGTTGATCCAAAACTGAATTATCATCAATCTAGTTAATATAATTTTCTAGAATAATAATGGCTTGTCTTGTTAGTTTAAAGTGATGGGATGAAAATATGAAATGAAAAGTACAGCATTCTGAAAGCTCTCATTTTTTATAGCATGTGTCTCTGCGGATGAAAGTGGCGAGCGCCTGTTCCTTTCTGACAGCAATCATCATCGGCTAATTATATTTGATGGCAATGGGAAGATTTTGGACTGTGTAAGTATGGGACTTAAACTAATAAGTTGCAGTGGCTGTTTTAAGAGCATGGATTGGTGGTTATTCTAAACTATGCAATTTTTAACTGATAATTTTTGTATATACTGCAACAAGTAGAAATAGAATGAAGAAAAATCAGGTACTTGCCCGACCTTCCTTTTGTTTTATCACTTTTACTGTTTGGCAAAATGTAAAAACCATAAAGGTTTCCTTTAGAAAGAAAGAAAGGAAAAAAAAATAAAAGAAAGCAAAAAGTTGAAAAAAAATGTCAAACTGATTCCTTTTAACATTTTTGGCTACTTAACATAAATGAACTATTGCATTATTTCAGCATCATTTCAGCAGTTGATTCCTGGTCACCCAATACACAGAACTTTTGAATAATCTCCTATGGATGTCACCTATGATTTGTGCTTTTTGCACTAGTAATAATCATTTATGGCTAGTGATGTGAAATTTTGGGTTCAAAGCTTTCTTATATCCTTGTTACCCTTTATTCAAAATTTCCCCTTATCTATAAGCTGAAATAAGGGACAAAACAGTTTAGATTCAAACTTAAATTTTTTATATGTCAGATTGGTTCTTGCCCAGGTTTTGAGGATGGTGAATTTGAATCTGCAAAGCTGCTTCGCCCAGCTGCTTCCTTTTATCATGCCTCTGAAGATTGCCTGTATATTGTAGATTCTGAGGTATGTTTTTAGTTTCTTAACATGCATTCATATTACATCTTAAATATGAGAAAGCAAGGTCTTGGGGTTTAAAAATCTCCATGCTAAGAGAGTGGTTATGATTTTGTAAGAAACAAATTTTCATTTTAATGCTTATTGCAATTCTCTTGATGTATTTAGTTTACATTTTTGTCTGTGAATATGGAATCACTGTTCTCCCAGATATTCCTTTGTTACATTCTTGCTTTCAGATAAATATAGATAAAAAATAAATAATAAATTCTTCCAAATTCAATCCTATAGTTGCTCGGGATTTATTTACTTACCTTCTTTATGTTGGTCAGCTTTCTTGTTATATCATCTTTCAGGCGATATGATATATTAGAATAAGTTTTCATCCTTGTTGGCATTTTGTATAGTAGCATGTCATTGAGATACGCTAGTGGTATTTTAGTTGGGGTTTAATTATTATTTTTTTGGTTTGTCCCTATCTGTTAAGAATCATGCCATCCGGAGAGCGGATTTGGAAAGGAGGGTTTTGGAAACAGTTTATCCAACATCTAGCATCAACAAGAAAAGTACTAGTTTGTGGACCTGGATCAAGACTAAGCTGGGTTTTGTCAGTGACACTGATGTGAAATATGAAGAGCATGGTTCCCAGACACTAATGTGTCCTTGGCATCTGATAAAGTCTGGGGAAAATAGTTTTTTAATTATCAGTCGAAGGTAAATTTTCTAATTATACTTTTATTATAAACATGTTAGGTACTTTCTTCCCAGGGTTCTTACCATACTCCTTAAAGTTTCATGGTCATTAAGTGCGTTGTCGTGCTCAAGTTTTGGCCAAGGTCTCTTGGTAACATACCCTGACTACTTATTGGGAGAATAGTGGAACCTCTGACTTTGTTTAACTAGAAAAAGAATATGAAAGGGCTTAACTTGTTGGACATGGGTGAGGCCTGAATATGAAAGGGCTTAACTTGTTGGACATGGGTGAGGCCTGTTCTCTTTATTTTCTTAATGGCTTTTTTTTTATATATAATTTTTGTTATTTGCTTTATTTGCTGTTTTAACTTCAAGGTAACAAATAAAATCTATCTTCTGATTCCAAGCTAGCAATTTTGACTTGCCAACAGCGATCCCACACCAATCCATGTTTTTAATTTTATTGCAAATGCCTTCAATCATTAGGCTACATAATTGATGCTTATCATTCTACTCCATGGTGGTATACATTTGCAGCTTCAAAACTGTATGGGTTATGGATTTTGCATCGAGAGAGATAAAAGAAGTTGTCAAAGGTTTAAAGTTACTGTTCTTTATGTTGCTTATTTGTTTTATATTTTTTTAGCTGAGTCCGTCTAACGTTTCTTATCTGATTTCTATGAAGGATTTCCAAGTACTTTGGAGCTCTGCAGACACTTCATCATGGAAAAAGTATCCCTCTTGAAAAAGATGCCAAATTATCTGTTGCAACAGCAAACTGATACTGACTTATCATCAGAGGGGCTTCCATATGCTAGTCTCATGTCCTGTGTTACAACCTTTCAAAATCATATAATCATGTGTGACGCTGGTACTAAATTTTTGTGGCTGTGTTATGTTTTGCCTCTTTAATCAGATGTATAGTGAGGTTTTCAAGGATTACTCATTTCATAATGTGTATTTCAAGTGGGTCAGGGAATTCTGAAACTAAGTAGAGAGTCTGGAACCGGTTCAAGTTTCAATTTCTCTAATCTCAGGATGCTTGGACTACCCTATTGGCTGTCCTTCCCTCTGGAAAGATTTTATGCTGGGTGAGTATTTTTTTGTCTTTCTAAACTTGAAAGTGTTCTTATTTCAACCCTGAATTCCATTGGTCTTCCTTCCTCTATCCCTTCTATCTTTCAATTCTTTCACACTGCTTTTTTTTCAAATAGATGGATTCATGCCAAGTTATTAATGTCATGCAAGCCCTGCATGATGACACTATTGTTCTAATTTGTGACAGTTTAAGTGGGAACTTTCTTTCATTCCAACTTCACTGATTTTTTCCCCTTCTTTTCTTGGCTGATTGACAGGGCTGCAGGATTTTCTGTCGGACAAGCTGATCACATTCAACAATTCAGTTTGTTGCCAGGTAGTTTACCGGCTACAGTTAATATCTTGTTCTTTGCCTTCATTGCACAAATAATGTTTAGTTGCTATTTCTCTTCCACTGACCTGAGCATTTGGCTCAATGGTTGGTGCATGATCTCCATGCTCTTTGAGTAGGGCTCGAACTTCCCCAAATGAAAAATAATAATAATAATAAAAATCAATCTGCCTCCATGAGTCGGCGTTCGGTTATGATGTCAATATATAGGCTGACAATATAACTTGGTTTTCGTTCTGTATATTATTTTCCTTTTTGGTGTCTTCCTTTCTAGTAATTGCGTGGGAGATATTATGCATTATTGCATCTCATATAGACATTGGATTAAGACATGTTTTTACCCGGTCTAAACTAAGACTGCTTTTTTTCATTTCCATGCTTCTCTTGGTATGTTTCTAAGGTGCTTAGATGTATATGTGCGTTTCTTTCTTGTGTCAAATGTTAAGAATTAAGTTAGGCATTGCCATTATATGTCCAGTACTAACTGACGTAACCTATGATCACCTGCCATGCACGTTAAGGGCTTTGGAGTGGCAGATCTCTAACATATGGATGCTAGACATGTTTATTCTTTTACTTTTTCTATGTCAGAATGTGCATGTAGAAGAAATAGTAGCTGTAGATAGTTCAACTTTCTTACCAAATTATGGTTAAATTTGTAGTTTGTATTTTAAGTAAATGAAATCGGAATCTCACATAATTTACCAAACTTCTGGTAATGGGCGGACCATGCATGGCATGATTTTAATAACATGTCAAAAGTGAATACATGCAAATGTCCACATATATGGGTGATAGAGTTTAAGTTTTATACAGTTTAAGGTTTTTTAATAGCAAATGTAAGCCATTAAAATAAAACATGATTATTGGAATCTCCTTAAGAAAGTTATTTGAGAATTTTTTTTCTTGACACCTAAGAACTGAAATGATAAATGTAATGGGAAATATCCAGAGTTTGAAATATGCTCGAAATTTAAGAACATGTAACTATTCAACAAACAAATCAAAGTATTCTGTTGTGTCTGATGCAGACATTCAAGCTACCTTTTTTATCATAAATTTTGCAATAGTTTCGTAGCAAAACTGAAAAAGAAAAGTGAAGTTAGCTAAATTATCATTCACAGAAATAGGTTCTTGATGCTCAGTGCAACCTGGAAATTGATGTCTCTAACAAGTAGGGTTCACATTTGGTGTCTCTAACAGGTAGGGTTCACATTCGGTTAAGCATAGACATCCCTGCGGACACTGAACTTGTAGAACCTTTGCATGAAAGTTGCATATGGTGCCAAGCAAGGGGAGCGGCTACTGAGCTATCTTTCGTGGCGGGTGTGGCAGGATCCTCAGAGATGGTTTCTACCTTGCATTCATGTGATTTCCTTTGTCTAGTTGTGTGATAAATGATAAGGAGCTGTATTTAATTATTGGGTTTCTCAGGTTGGTATTGCGCAACAGTGGTATGATGAACTGGACAATCTTGCCTTTTCAACAACTGAATCAGAACTGGTAATCGAGGATGATTATGCTACTAAAGATACAAATTCTGAAGATGAGAGAATTCAAATTGATTGTGTTGTTAATACAAGCCCTGGAACAAGTGAGGTATACTTGCTCTCTCTCTCTCTACACTAGTGATTGGTGCAGCTTGCTTCTGTGGCTAGGTTTAGTTTTAAAGCTAGGTCGAGTCTTAGCATTTAAGTTGCCCTGCAAAGATATGATGACACTGATTTCTTTCATTTCCTTCATCACACAGGTTATAATTTATGCAGCACTGTATGTAAAACTTAAAAGAAATCATGTTTCACAAGATGACAATCAGGAGAAATTCGCTGCAAGGATAGCGGATATTTTAAACCCTGAGAGAATTGATGGGTTTGGTGGCAATTCTTGCATTCAGTTCTTGTTGAAATCTAAAAGAGATTTGAGAGACCTCATTTTCATAAAACCTTTGCATGTGAGAATAAAATTTAATTGTCAAAATCACCCAAAAGCTGATAATTCAAAAGACATCATCTTAACAGACTCCTCCCTTAATATTGATGTATCCCTGAAGGCATGATTACTGCTGCTATGTTAGTCCAAATCTGTCTTATTCTTGTGATTTGATACTGTTGTATTGATATTCCATAATTTGATTTGGAAAATTAATTAATAATCCCTTCCATTTTTTTTCCCATCTTCTGGTATTCCTTATCATCTTTCTCTCTGGAAAATTAAAAGTTAAAAGGTCATGCAAGCAGATGAAGAATGTCTAAAATCATAAAGCACACTGATGAATGATGTAATATGGAACAAAACACAGGTGGTCAAGTGATCCTAAAATTGAGTTCTTGAGGGTTTTTTTTTTTCCTTTTTTTTTTACAAAAAAGGCTTTGATAAGGCAAGGGATTGCAATTTGCCAAGTGTTTGAAATTTAAATTCTAGCTTATTAGATTTTTTTTATTAAAGTACGAGTAAATTAATTGTGCTAAGTTTCGAATTCTGATTTATTTTTAATTTGTTACAAACATCTTAAATTCTTGTTATGGAAAAGATCAGGCTATAACAACCCATATATGCTATGATAAGAATTGACCATCTCAAGTATTGTGATAAGAGATTAAAATTGTTGAACAAGCCAGGATGTGCAAACAATGACTGTCACATATTCTTGATGTAAATAACTCAAAATGAATTCGGATTCTCCATTTCATCTATTATGTCTTGTTCTTCATCTGATTCACACGTGAAGAAGAAAGCAACAGTAAAATTGGAATCTTAAAACCATATGCTCTGCAAGAAAACAAAAAGCACCAACCAAATAGGTGTTTCGTTGGCCACCCAAGCAGTCACGGGAAAGGAGAATTCTAAAGAAGTATAGGTAAGAAATGCTTGTCAAAGTAACAGCCAAATTAGTCCTTCATTCCATTTTATTAGCTGAGACAAAGAACAGGTTTTCAGTGATTAATAGCTCACGAGATTTATAGTCATCTGCACCAAATATTGCAGAACCAGTGTAAGCATGGCAGTGGTCCAGACTAAAAGGTTAACTGATGTTCAACCTGAAATTTAGTTCGGTCTAAAGTATAATCATCTTTAAAATATGATATTCAACGAGTTTGAGATTTAAATCTTAACATTTGTAACTCTTTCTCTTATTTCAGACTGTGCCTCTTTTATATAAAAAAGAGTTAATCCATGTTAAAAGTTGTATTCTCTATCACTTCTTTCAAATCTACACCAGACATAATCATGAAGGAATAAGAAGGGACTCTTTAATTCCTTAGTTGGCCCTTTTTTTCTGTTTCAGTTACACCACCCATCAACCATTCATGGATCTCTCTTATCAAATAAAGTTTTGTTACCCTGACCAACTCAATTATGTCCTTTAGTGAGCATGCATCCTTTATAAAAAACCAACTAGCCATGCACCTCCTTTTGTCAAAATCCAACGGCAACCCCTTTACAAGAACTTAGTATTCAATACCCTTTTGGTGCTTTAAGTCAGCAAAATGCCTCACCAGGGAAGATGCAGTGCAAACCCAGTTTTAGTTCTTGCCTGCACCCTTATTTTGCTCTTAGCTCAATTTGAGATCACTCAAGCCGAAACTTTTACGGTTGGTGAAACTTCAGGCTGGAGTTTCAACGTTCAAAGCTGGGCAAAGGGGAAAAAGTTCAAGGCTGGGGATACTCTTGGTATCAAATATCGAATATCCACCTCTGCACATATAATTTTTTCTTATCTAAGTTAAACAGCTGTTGTTTCAATTTTAATTTAACATATATATTAATCAATTAACTCGTTTAATGCTTGATGCAGTGTTCAATTATGATCCATCTTTGCACAATGTTGCAGTTGTTGGTGTCGATGGCTACAATAATTGTTCTGCTTCTCCTAGCTCCGAGGTTTACAGCAGTGGAAATGATGCAATCGAACTATCAAAAGGACGAAACTACTTCATTTGCAGCATCCCTGGCCATTGCGATGGGGGCTTGAAGATTGCCGTTGATGCTTCATGAGTGCAAAAAAAAAAAATGTGGCTTTCATGAAACATTTCCCAACCTTAATTACTTCAAAGGGGATGGTGTGATCTTGAATAAATTGTTGGTGTTCATTAATAAGAGATCGTCTTTGTTTTTCTCTATTCTTTTTCAGCCCTCCTTAATACTACTACTGCAGAAGCAAACATATATTTATAAAATCCAAAATTTAATTCAATTGATTCGAATAATCACTTTTTAAGAGTTGATATCTAAGTTGGGATTCAAGTCCAGCACCTGTAATCCATTCTTTTATCTCCAGACTACATGCTCCTATTTTTATAGAGTCCTACATGTATAATCTCTCTTCTTCATTAGATGCCTTTGAACAACTTTAATATACACAGGCATTGAGGTATTGGTGAGCTTTGACAGATAAACAATTTGATAAAACCTGAAGAGAAGCATTCTTGCCCATGGTGGTTTTCTGGTTCAAGAAAAATAAGATGTGTTTTTGGTGTCTCTCACTTCATTTTGTCAGGCACTTTCCTTCAATAAAGGCAAATTTCACGATGATGAAATTTTTAATGGATAATGTAGCTAATGGATGAATCTACTCAAATCACGTACATTTTTTTTATAATTTATCCAAATTTAATAACTTGGAACCACTTTAATACGTTTGCATGCAAAATGATTAAGAAAGAAAACTCACTATTAATTGGTTTGAGTATATAAATAATTTCCAAGATTTTGGGACAATAAGGTGAGATGCCACAATCACAGCATATAGAAAATTTTGATTTTTTTATTATTAATGAATTGAAAAGGCACATATCCTTTATCCAACATTTAATTATTTTTGTAATCAAAACAATGAAAACAACAATTATTTAGGGGGGAAATGTATAAACAGACATACATCATGCATGCATGTTCTGTAAGAAACATGGTTTGTCATCTTTTCCCTTGAAGTACATGAATATTTTAATTATAATCTTTTTTTCCTTATAATTAATATCTTTGTGCAAGATACTAATGGAACCAACCATTAAAAATAAATAAATAAATAAATAAACTATCAAAATGGCAATGGAATTCCAAATAACTGAAGGCGCGTTATGCTTACAACCTCCAAAACTGAGTTGGCCCCAAAATCATGAATCCTAATGCGAATAGCATGCCAGCCACTCTGTTTTGCTTTAAGGATGATCCTGACATCTATTTTCATCTTTTTTTTTTTTTTTTACCTTTGAATGTTGATGTTAATCCTAATGCATTCAACGGTAGTAAGATTGGAAAACGAAATTACAAATACACAATCTCCATAAAAACAAAAGGATCCCACATTTCTCTCCATTATCCACGGATTATTCCTCCCTAAAAAAGAACAACCCTTTTTTTCGTTTTATTTCTAACTAACAATAACTATATACTAAACACGTTTTCTTCTTTTTGTTTCAATTATAAGGTGAATATTTCTTTTGATCACCTTAGTGTTCCATGGAGTTTTTATGATCTGGGATTTCTCCCTGGAACCTCCTATAGTTTGTTACCAGTCCAGGTGTTGAGGTAGTTTTTTTTTTTTTTTTTGCTTATTTATTATTGATTTTATTTGTTAGGAGCTGGCATACGGTGAAGATAAAATACAGGAAGTTCTTTGGATTGCCTCCCCCAATTTCATTTGCTTGGTTTGGATCATTTAAGTTTGAGATAGCTTTATACCCTAGAAAGGAGAAAAGATATATATAAAAAAAAAGTTTTACCGAAGGAGTTACTGGATTTGAAATCCTGAGAAATGAGTTGTTTTTCATGTTTTTCTTCCCATGAGAAGAAGGCATCTAGAAGGCTAAATAGTTTCAGCAGAAAGGCTCAGACTTCTAATGACCCTGCTCCAAGTGAAGCTATTCTTCCCCAGCAACGGCCCGGTAATGTTACATTCCCCTCCCTTTGAATGTACACTATATATGGATGGCATTAGTTTTGTTGCTTCAACATTCTTCTAAGGTTTCCTTTTCTAGTTTTTTCTTGTATTTTAAGGTTTAGCCTGGAGCAAGGAATTTCATTTTCCATGTATTCTTTGAAATTTTGAACCCAAGTTGGTGCAACAAGTTATGCAATATTGTTAACTTGCCATGCATAATCATAAAAGCATGCAATTTCCTTTTTGTTTTTCGTATTTCTCCAACTCATACAATAACGAACCAAAAATTTGAATATATATATTCTTTCTTTCAACAGAGAATATTCCTAAACCAAAGCCCTCAGCACCTGAACCAACGAAGAATGCTGATGGCCCTAGAGACAGCGGTAACAACAACATTGCAGCACAAACTTTCACCTTCCGTGAATTGGCTACAGCAACCAAGAATTTTAGACAAGAATGTTTGATAGGGGAAGGCGGATTTGGGCGTGTTTACAAGGGAAAACTTGATAAAACCGGCCAGGTAAAAGATTCTGCTTCATGACATGACAACTATAATATACACTCATGTTTTCTGAAAGGAATTTGTGTAATCATTTTAGGTTGTAGCCGTAAAGCAGCTTGATAGAAATGGATTGCAAGGAAACAGAGAATTTCTTGTTGAGGTGTTGATGCTAAGCCTCTTGCACCATCCAAACCTAGTCAATCTCATCGGATATTGTGCTGATGGAGATCAGAGACTTCTGGTTTATGAATACATGCCATTGGGATCTCTAGAGGACCATCTACTTGGTACTTTCTTTTTTTGCTTTTCATTTCTTTTTTGTTAGATTAATGAACCCATAAATGACATAGGAAATATTTATATATGTTAAAAGGAAGGCCTGCATTTAATTATTAAAAAATTATAAATGACGATTGAATTTTTTATTATTATGAATTATGTTTCAAATTTCAGATCTTACACCGGAACAAAAGCCATTGGATTGGTATGCCAGAATGAAAATAGCATTAGGTGCTGCTAAAGGGTTAGAATATTTGCATGATAAGGCCAATCCCCCTGTCATCTATCGCGATTTGAAGTCCTCAAACATATTGCTGGATAAAGAGTTCAATGCAAAACTCTCGGATTTCGGGTTAGCCAAGCTAGGACCTGTTGGGGACAAGACACATGTATCTTCCAGAGTCATGGGAACATATGGATACTGTGCCCCGGAGTATCAAAGAACAGGGCAGCTAACAGTGAAATCAGATGTTTACAGTTTCGGTGTCGTTTTGTTGGAGTTAATCACTGGAAGGAGAGCCATTGACACCACAAGACCAAACGATGAACAAAATCTAGTTGCATGGGTTTGTCACTTTTTCCAAGCTCGTTCCTTCTGTTTCTTTTGTTTTCTGCTACGAATTTATTATCATAACTTTTAGAGGTGATAAAAGTTGATGTTTTTCATTCTAACCTAATCTTTCACCATTTTGCCAGGCTGAACCATTTTTCAAGGAACCAAGTAGGTTCCCACAACTCGCTGATCCACTTCTTAATGGAGATTTCCCTATAAGAGGCTTGCATCAAGCAATTGCAGTTGCGGTTATGTGCTTGCAAGAGGAAGCAGCCGTACGTCCCTTGATAACCGATGTGGTCACTGCTCTGAGTTTCCTTGGAAATGGTCCAGATGCAAACACTGCTGCTTCTTCTATGCCTTCTGGGGAATCTGACAAGAAACCATCATTTGCAAACGGAGAAAATTACGATGAAGATACCAAGGCAGAACGAGAACGAGCTGTAGCAGAAGCCATAGAATGGGGTTCAACTACAAGGCACACTCAATCACAAACTCATAGCGCTATGTTGTAGAAATTCGACTTAACATAAACGCGATGTTTGCCTGATCCGTTATATAAATCTCTCCCTACGGTTCATGTAATTCCTCTATAAAACCATTTCTTATTCTCATCTACCCTGTAAGAATGGTGTTGAATTGTGAACAAAATATTGAGTTAATGCGAACGAGGATTAACATATATACCCATGAAAACAAGAACGTGAATGAGATTTTCCATCTATTGTTTTATGTTATGGTTGTTGTACTATCAATTAATAGCTATGCGGACAAAATGTTGCCTCTTCTTATTATCAGTCCAAGTGATTTGTTGTATGAGAAAATATTTTTCCTTTTAAGAGTTGCTTTCAGCCAATTAAAGCTACAGTCAATACTATACATGATCTGATCTTCAGGAAGAACTTGCAGGTGATGATGAATATCTTCATTAGTTGCCACCATTGATAAATACTAAATCTTAGTATTTAGGATCATTGAATGTAAGATTAAAAAAAAACACGATAAATACTTTATTGATGTGGTTACTAGTAAAAATTACAATCATAAAGAAATATGTTTCAATATATATACATATATATATATATATATATTAAATAATGATCAATAAATAATTATAAAATTAGATTAAATTCACATGTGATGAGATTTAAACTTAAAATTTAAAATTTTTCAACTTTCTCTTTATCATTGTAACAAAACTTAATTGATAAAAAAAAACTTAAAATAATTCAAATTTTCTCAAATATCCATCTAATTTACTAGTAATTAAATTACCAAGTCCTTTAAAGAAAACATGCGTTGCACACCCAAAAAAAAAAAACTACATTATGAAAAACTTGTTTTTGATAATATTTATTTATTTGAAATTGAAAATTAAAACTGAAATCATAATAATTAAATGAAATAATTGAATTTTTAAAAATAAATAACTAAATGAAGCGAGAATATCGGTAGCGTTGAAAATCTTTTTCCTATTTTATTATTATTTATTCCTACCAGACATTGGACCGTTGTTTCCTAGAAAGCACGAACCAACCAAAGAGAAATCAAGATAGCAAAAAAGGACAAAAATCTGGATTGGGCCAGAAAGAGCTAATAAACTGGGCCAGAAGATACCGGTTTGGCCCTTGACAAACATTTTTCTCTCAACTGAACTTGAATGTAGCTCAGAACCGGAACGAAACTAGGAAGAAAATCCCGTCAGATAGCGACAATATCGAGATAAAAGCAATCAATTTCAAGTCGATTCTCAGGGTCAGGTAAATTATTGATGCGAAGTATTATTTTTTATGATTATCATATTTTCGCACTTTAAAGTTTTTCTTTTTTTTAATTGATTATATTTGATGTAGTTCTAATCTGTGTTTCTAATTTGCTGGCATAATAGGATAATAACTCACCCTGATTTGATGAACTTGCAAATGGATTTTATATAAAATCTCTATTAGTTTGGTTTTTATAATCTAATCTTAGAATTCATTCTTTTACAATCTTTCAACTGCTTGCTTTTTTTCTTTTTTTTTTTTTCTAGGCAGGCTCTTGATGTGAATTATGAGATTGATATTTGGATATTCCATTTATAAGAGTTAATTTTGGTAATTGGTATACAACGTTTTGATCTTTCTGGAAAGATTGCGACTTTGGGAGCTAGTTTGATTCATTAATGGCTTCAAAAGAAATGACAAGTAAACTCTGGAGATGGGGTTTAGGTTTGCTATACATATTTGCTGTTGCGGCTATCTGGATAGCTGCTAGTTTTGTGGTACAGTCTGTGGTTGATGCAGGTGTTTCACCATTTCTTATAACATACATTTGTAATTCGTTATTCGTTGTTTATATTCCCTTGGTTGAAATCGGGCGGTATCTAGAAGATAATTATGGAAGTTTAATGTTCTGGAGAAATAAAAAGAGCAGTCCTTTACAAGAGTTGGGAGAATCAGAGAAAGCTATCCTTCTTGGAGAGGGTGTTTTAGATGCAAAAGCTGATAGATCAAATCAATTCTCCCTTGCGGAAGAGGGTGAAATTAGTCATGAGAAAGGGGATAGTTCACAGTTGGTCTCCTATGAGCTTACTAGGACTTTGTCCAGTCAAAGTGAAGTTGCTCACATGGACTTAGATGCAAAGGGGCGATGGACACGCACCAGAGTAGCTAAAGTTAGCCTTTTGATATGCCCATTTTGGTTTCTGGCTCAGCTGACTTTTAATCTCTCATTGAAGTATACTACTGTTACGGTAAGCATAATGCATTTTTGCTGTGATTGCATTAGTTCAGGTTTTCCACCTTTTTCATTGATTACTTACTTTCCTTTCATTTCTGCCAGTCTAACACCATCCTAAGCAGTGCCTCCAGCCTTTTCACATTTTTGGTCTCTTTAGCATTCTTGGGTGAGAAGTTCACTTGGGTAAAGCTTGTCAGTGTCATTCTTTGCATGGCAGGAACTATTATTGTCAGCTTGGGTGACTCAAGCAACTCCAAGAATTTAAGTGTAATTGCTTCAAACCCAGTTCTCGGAGACATTTTGGCTCTTCTCTCAGCTGCTCTGTATGCTGTATATGTTACACTTATCCGTAAAAAGTTGCCTGATGATGATGAAAAGAGTGGTCGTGCCAGCATGGCACAATTCTTGGGATTTCTAGGGCTTTTCAACCTATTTATATTCCTTCCTTTTGCTCTTGTACTCAATGTCACCAAACTAGAGTCTTTCAACACACTATCTTGGAAGCAGTTTGGCCTGATTATGGGAAAAGGTTTGGATTGAATTCATTCAATTTTATTTTTAACTTTCAGTTGCTTTCTTGTCTTGAAATCATGAGATTATTGGATTTATCTACCTAATATGTTAAGCCTTAAAAGAAGAAAGGTGCATGATTTAATGTATCAGCATATATAAGAATGCAATCCACTCTTATGAATGCTGATGCCTTATCAATTGTGTGCACTAGTGATGCCCAATTCCAATGTAATAGGAATCATCAGTGGTGTAGAAACCATGATGATTCTAATCTGCACTTATCGGTCATCATTGTTCCTTTTGAGAACCTTTTTATGGATTTGGCCCTTCCAAATTGCTCCTTTAAAATTGAGCTGATGGGTCCTGGGGCATTTATTCCATGAAAATATGTGCGTTACTGGCACAACTGTTTGGAAATGTGGTTGGAGATGAAACCTTTTATGCAATCAAATGTATAACCAGCAACATGATTGTTTAGAATCTATGCATAATTATCTTCCTTTCTAATATGGTGATGGTAGCTTCAATTGTTTATGCTGTTATTTTGTGCCTGAGGAGTCTTCATTGTTAGTGGCAGAGTGATGCTAACAGCCCCAAAATCATGTAAAAAGCATGTTCACCCTCTAAATTGCGGATCAATAATATGTGAGATAGGAATTTTGTCTAAGTCCATTCTGAAATGAGTCGGCTAATCTCTAACCAAGGGAAATAAGTACAATTGTTGCTTTAAGTTTTTAATCATTTAAAATAAGTATAATTGGGAAGAGATTTGTAAAGTCAGTTGTATGCCGTAGTAAAACTTTTTAATAATGTTGTGAACTTTACCATAGTATTTGTGACTGCACATCATAGGAATCTGCAGATGTTGCACCCAACAGCATTTATGCATATAGATATAAGATGCTGTTTGTTGCATTGGAGTCATACCATTTCATTTTCTTGATGGAGAAAGAAGTTAAACATTAAGTGCTTATGATTTCATCTATGGAATATTCATTCTCGAGTATTTCATTTTGTTAAACGAAGAAGAAAAAGAGAGTGATAGAATTTACCTTTTATGAGCATTGTCATGTATAAGGAGAAATTGTGGTATCACTTTGGAGGAACTATAGCATCTTGCTACCTTTTGAAGGTTTTTTTGTTATTCTTTTATGGTTAAAACAAATGAGTGAATAGAATTTCTTTCATAAGGAAGAGTTATATAACAATGTCATCAACTAGATGTCGCCATCTTGTACAGTGAACACTACTTCATACAATGCTTTCTCCAGGCAGATGAACTGTCTTTGCACTACGAGCTTTAGCTTATTGTTTCTCTTTACTTTGACACCACTTCTCTGCCTTATTTTTTGTTCCTCCATCATATATAGGTTTGTTGGACAATGTGCTGAGTGATTATTTATGGGCAAAAGCTGTTCTTCTCACCACAACAACAGTAGCAACAGCTGGTCTTACTATTCAAGTGCCATTGGCAGCAGTAGTCGATACACTAATTGGCAAAGCTCCTCATCTCATGGATTATCTTGGAGCTATTGCTGTGATGATTGGTTTTGCAGGCATCAATATCCCTTCTGATATTTTTGGCAGATCTAAAGAAGCTACTCTTGAATTAGAAAATGAAAATGTTAGTTCAACTAATCAAGAGCATACCTCATCAACTAGCCAAGAAACAGTTGTCACTAACTAACATGTTGCTGTTGCTGCTGTAAATTACCACATACCAGCCATTTCTAGTTAAGGTAATTCTTTTGAACATATATATGACTATGAATTAAGGGCATTTAAGATTTGGGACCTGCCTTGAACCTACATTTTTTTTTTTGGTGCTTTATATATTCTATAAAAAAAAAGTTTAGATTCTCAAGATATATGCATTTGCACATTATTGTCTCCTTTTTTTCTTGTTTTGTAATGAAAAGTTTAAGGTAAGGGGAGACTTCTGCAGTCCAAGGCCGAGATATACTGCAGGCTTCAGAGAAGACTTATATTAATTAGATTTACAGGTCACCCATTAAAAGAGATTATTGGCAACAGGAATTCAACTTGAATTTTACAAACAAAGTATTCGATATTTACCAACTTGACCAACTTCCAGTAGCACATTATTTTTCTATTTCAATACGCTGATATTGGCAGCCAAGTTTGGTGTCAAATAGTCACAAAGTCCAACTTCTCACAAATTACGTGAAAATGGAGAAACATAAATCCATGGATATTTATTTTTTATGAATATTCAACCACCGAACAGTGGATCACTTTATTGTTTCTCTTATTTCCATGGATATATAACAACTTGTGCATCTACGAAGTATTTTCTACGAGCAATGGTTGTCCGCTAAAGCAAAAACTTATTGTTGTCTTTTCTCTCTCCCTCCATCAGGGTCGTCACGAAGATGATGAAGAATGAGTACTTAAGAATTAGTCCTTGCGCAGTTGCTGTACAGCATTAACGTATAAAATCAAAATCAAGAGTAGTGCATCCATTTCCAGCACATTCGAATACATACGTGCACTGTATTTATTCAACCCTGTTCCATCCAAGTTGATTTTGGTTTGCAAGGCTTTTACATGTAGTACATTAAAAATATAGTGGAAACTGCAAACAATGCTATGTCTTTGAGACCTTCCAACAATTTGAATTAGCTAATTTCAAATAAATGATTTCAATTTTTTTTTTCAATGGGTGTCCAGGTCCAAATTTTCCAGTGTACAAGCAGGATCTGTAAAAATCATTTTTTTTTCTTTCCCCTGTTTCTAACCCTGTGGCATGGCAACATTCGAGTGTCCGTATTTCTGCATCACTTTCCTAGTTGCCAGTGCAGCTGCCTCACTAGCACGCAATGTTCCAGTAGCCATGATTGCCGCAAATTCACGGTTTATCTCTTCTTGGACCTTGGCTCGAGCATTCCCAAGAGGGTCTGCTGCAGCTCCGTTGGTTGATTTTTCCTGTGCTCCTGTTGGTTTGACAGGTGGCATTTTCTTTTCTGATGTCTTTACCTCCAAAGTGTTTGTTTGCTTCCCAGCCGTCACCTTATTGTCAACCTCTTTCCGCTGTGCGCTATCAGAGAACCTATTCAAACTGACAGTTGAGGAATGTGAAGGCTGAGCAGATACAGAAGGCCTGAATTGGGGAACTTGAGGAACAGCACCAGCCTTCAAAGTTGTCTCCAAATTCTGTATCATGGGCACTGTAAAAAGCATAAACAAACTTCTGATATCAGTACCACATATTTAAAGTTCATACTTCAAAAGGTTTGAAAAGAAAATAAAAAACCTATAGAAACATAGATATGTTCCACTTTTCTTGCAAATAGTGTGGTTAACTTGAATAGTAGCTCCTAAAACTTTGAACGAACCAGCAAATCACTGAAGAGGCAAAATGTTTAAGAAGCTAACCATTTGATCAAAACAAGAAAAATGAAACCAGGGAAAAAAAAAAGTGCTTTTCCCCTTTTTGTATGGAGCACATTCATCAAGGATAAAATTTTATTTCATCAATCATGCCTTTTAAGTGTTATTCGTGCAACTTGAGAAGAAAGTTTCTTTTGAGGAAATCATGAATCATTATGTTGGATGGAAGGGATTAGTTAAGCCAATCCCACATTAGAAAAGGTACCAACCAACAATAATACACTATAATTAACATGAAAAAAGGTTAAAAAGGCTGTCCCTATAGCATATCTGTCTCAGGACTTCATGAAAGAAGTAAAGAAATACAATGAATGACGTAAAATTTGAGGGCAGATAAAAACTTACTTAAAAGTGCACCCATTGGACTGCTCATAACTTCATTCGGAAGCTGCAAAATATAGTCTGGAATGTTAGAACCAACTAGAAATTGGGCAACCTCACTGCTGAAGTTGTTGCAATTGTGGGTGAGCAAATTGTAGGTCTCGGCTGTGTAACGGGGACTAATCTCCTGCAAATACATCTCAAACACATCTTTAGGCACATGAGTGATGCCTAAATCGATCACTCTAATTGGTTTCCCATATGGTGTCACTCCAACAGAAGCATGTTGAATTCCTCCACCAAAGTAGTATTCATTACCATAAACCACGACTCCAGTGTGCCTAACAAGCAAACATTCAATAAATCAAGTAATGCAACTTCAATTAAAGAAAAGTGAGCGATGGAAGTGGGGAGCTAGAAGATTTCTTGTGAGAAAGAGAAGTACAACAACTTCAATTAAAGAAAAGTGAGGGGAAGGGGTATAGACAACCACTGACACAAAGTTTCAAGCCTGGCTTAAGTTAACGTACCACAAGTGGGAAAAACCTCCAAAAAAAAAAAAAAAAACCTGAAAAACCTAAAAAAATTCCCAACATAACCCAGCATCGAAATGAAAGATACAACAGATTACAAGACAAAATCAGATGAAGCTGACCTAGTGCCCGACACAAAAAGATAATAAAAGTGGGAAAACCAAAACAACCTACCAACTCCAAAAAATAATGAAAAGAAATCTCAGCCAAAATTTGAGAATATGTTTCGTCCTGCGTTAGCAATTGCTAGTTTATAATAGATGCTTCTAAACATTACCTGCTGTTGTGTCGCTAAAAAAAAAAATATAAATGCCTTAATCTTCTGGTTGAGGCTCAAACAGTTTATTCACTAACTCCTTTAATTTGTAGTTATTCACTCCTTTAACCATATTAAAGTGGTTATATGTGTCTATAATATGTTTGTAGTGTACAGTTCATTGCTATAAATCAAAACTTTTGTGGATAAAGACACAACAACTTTCCTATGTGTCAGTCTTTATTCATGCACAACAAGTTTGATGAGGCCTTGACAGAAAGTGGATTATCTAATGGAGTGAGCAAAGACAGATTTGTCATGGTTCGGTTCTGTCAGTCAGAAGGCCTGCTCTTCCTGCTTTAGTCAATCAATGCAGAGGTACCTTTCTTCGCTTAGTAGCACAATTCTTGCAATAGGGGTTAGCTAAGATATAAGATGTGTGACAAACATAATTAAGAAATAGTTAGACTTCAACAAAAATCTCACGTTCAGATGCTACTATCTTTCACCCTCAAACTAAATACTTACCATATTCCATCAATAACCTTCCCTAAGAAGGTCATTGAAAGCTGCCGAGCTAGTCCTTGGCTCAAGTCGTACACATTCAATGTAACCTTGTGACCCTCCTGTCAGATATCCATAGTCATTATTAGTTCATATATAGTCTTTGATAAAACCTTTATTGACACAAATAAAATCCTTGTAAAGCATTCTAGAAACAGGTGCGGATAGGCAAAGAAATATTACAGAGCAAAGGAAAGAATCAAGCAGAAGTTGAAATATAAGAGAAGAATTTGATACCTCAGCCATCCCTGCAGTTCAATATAAAAGCTCTTGCAAGAAAAAAAAAATAGCAACCTCTAATGCAACCAACGAAGATGACCTGTCCAAACAGATCAATGAGATCAATTTTTCCAAAGCAATTCACCTATAATTCATTTTACTACAATCTTACAATTGTTAGATCACAACAAAAAATTATGTAGGAGTCCACCACTTATAAGTGCAGACTCCATACTAAAACCTACACAATTATGAATTGCGAATGATTAATTATAGTACAGTAATTGCAGGTGATACATGCTGTCGAATGTTACAAGAAAATTTTCCCACTAAACACTACTTATTGTATCAAACGAAAGAAAAATATTTTTCTAAGGCCTTCCATATATAAATAACTTAAATGCCTCTTTAACCAGATTTCAACACATTCATTCGCGTTAGGCAATGGCGAATATCCAATATTTATTTTAGAAAAAATTCAAATTTTTACACCTAAAATAGCTAATTACCCAAGTAATCACACATCCTAAATTAAAATCCCTAGCTTTTCACCCAAGATAATTCATTGAATTGACATTTCTCAATTCCTCCTGACCTCCCTCATTGCAGGTAACGAAATTAAAATTTTACCTCTCCATTGCAAAACAAGATATCTAAAGCGCAACATAATCGAATCCAACAAAACCAAAAATATATAATCAAAAATCTTCACATTTGAACCAAAAACACAAATATTAAAGTGAATAAGGAATTTAAATTTCAAAAATTTGTCTGGGAAATAAACTGTACGGTGGGGGAGAAACAAACCTGAGAGTAATGAGCGGAACCGCAAAAGTTTTGATCCTTTTTTTTTTGGCTCGTTGCGTTAAATCGAAAACTGGATGAAATAAAAGGGCAAGAGCTGCTTTTATAGTAGGACGATTGGGTTGTTCGGTTTCGAGTGGGGCCCAAATTCTCTACGACGGCATTTGTCTCGGTGTTTGGATTGGTGGTCTTCTACGACCTTCTAGAACTTCCTATCCACTCTGTTCTGACACGTGTTGTTTAGTATTTTAGAGACGTTGACGCCGTACTTGGCAAAGAAAACGCGGCTCTTGCGTGAGGTGTCCACGCTGTGTACAGCTCGCGATCAAGTTTGCAATTAGTAAGCAAAGTTGCTTTCTTTTTCATACTTTTATTGAAGACGCAAATTCAATTATTATGTTTCCAAATTTTTTAATTTCATTTACTACAAATTTAGCCAAATTTGAAAAAAAGGTTAAAATAATAAATAGATTGAAATAGCAATTCTTAATATTAACAAATATAAACAAATAATAAGGATGAAAATTTTTGAAATCCAACCTAAATAATGTGTCACCTTCACTTTAATACATCATTGAGGAAGTAAATTATAAACTACTAAAATAATAATTTTTAATTGTCACAAGTTACAACTCATAGTTTCTTATTCATGAAAGTATACGTGGAATGCTTAATTTTTTTTCAATAGTAGTCTTAAAATAAAAAAATATTAATATTTAATTTTAAAGTTTAAAGTTTAAATTTATTAAATATCACTTATAATTACCTAAACGGTATTATTTACAATTTTCTTTATATCTTTTTAAAGAAATCATTGTCATTATTATGGCTTACCTATTTGATAAAAATGAAATTGAATAATATTTAACTTTTCCAATTCCCAATTGAAACTAATATAATAATAAGACAATTAAATTTTACTAGTTTTTATTGATTATAAATGATAAATTAATATTTTGATGAATTCATAAAAAATAGGTTAAAGGAAAAATGTGAAAGTAATTTTTTTAAAAAAATATAAATAGATATGTTAATTAATTTAAATCATGATAATAAGTTGTATACAAAATTCATAATTCATACATATGGTCTTAAATATTAATAAAAATTTATTAAAATAAAAAATAGACTTAAATGTCCCTTGTCACCAAAAAAAAAAAAAAACTAGAACTTTGCTCAATAAATATTACTTAAGATGTCTTTATATTAAAAATGAATTATTTTTATAAAATTATATTAAAAATAAATTATAAAATTTATATTTTAAATTCAATTAGATCAAATTTGAGTAATAAGTATTTTTATAAAATGATTAATATTATGAATATTTCTTAAATTATAATAAAATATTTAATATAATATTTAAATTTTAAAAATTTTTAATATGATATTTAAATTATAAATTTATTAATTAATTTAATACTTATTTATGATATAACTAATTTTGAAAGATGATATATTACGAATAAATAATTATTTAATTAATGTATTAATTAAAAAATTGATAATTTAAATATTAAATTAAAAATATTTTAAATTTAAATATTATGTTAAATATTTTATTATAATTCAAATAATATTTATTATATTAATCTTTTATAAAAATATGCTATATGCAAATCAGGTTCAATATGGGCAAAAGGCCGTTACGTCTTATTGTCATTCCATGGAGTTCAGAACTTTGGGTGTGAGAATTTATTTTTATTCTTTTATCTGGAGAAGTTGGAATTTAGAAAGCAAAAAATAGAGTTTTAACTCGTGGCAAATGTGTGACCTTGGTCTAGGAACTTAAGATTCCCGACAGCTTTTGAGCACTACGTAACTTTCATCCAAATGACACAAAAACCCTACAAACCATCCAAAATTTACATTCCTATGCCACTCATTTAATCTCCAACACACTTTCCTCCCCTGCTAAAGTCCACATCATTCACCTAGCACGCATGTGCACGAAAACCCCCTATTGAGTCCTGACAACGAAACTTGTAAATAACACGCATCAAACCCCGGGACCGATTCGGCCCACCCGGAGCAACTAAAGATCGACTACTTTCCATGCCGAACCAAATTCCAAACTGAAAACTCTATGCAACAAACAACAGAATCTGAATACGAACGGTAGCTTAGGTTCTTCAGAACCAATTTCTTTCGTTCCCTGATTCTGCGAAAGAGCTCTTTTCTTTTTCCTCTTCTACTGTTAAAGTTCGAGCTATTGTGCACTTCAGTTACAGTCAAAAGAATGATTTACAATTTTTTTGAAGGAATAAACTAATTTTTTCGTCGGCTGAAATAAGTCATAGAATTATAAGCTCTCCAAGCTTGTATATGTATCTATGGTTACAGTTGCAGATCTCTGTAAGCTCTGCATAATTCGGTCAGTGTCATAAAATAGCGATCTTAATTTTTTTTTAATTCGTTTTTTTATGAATTTTATTGCTGAATTTGAGTTTTTTTTTTTTTAATTGTTTTAGATTGAATTAGAGTTGGTGAACTGGAGATCTTGTTGAGAGGTTGTTTAAGCATTGATCCTGACTTCCCGTACACTGGTAATTTTTTTTCTTGGCTTAATTGTGAATTACGTTATTGAATTTCGAGTTTCGGTTTGTTTGGTTGCTGAGAATGCAAGGGAAAAGGTAAGAAAGTCTGTTTTGAGGTCTTTTGGCCGTTACTGAGAAGAGAATGTGAAATTCAGTTTTTATTAAACGCACGCTGAATATCTTACTTGCTTTTTTCTAAAAGAAGTCGTGCTTTCCTTTAGATTACTACCTATTAAGAAAGATCTAAAGCAATGGAGTTGAGTTCCTTTTTTTTTTTTTTCTTTTTGCAGGAAAAGAAAATGGCACAGAGTAGCTGGGAAGCTGACAAGATGTAGGTGTTGAATTTGTTGTAACTGCTTTTGTGGATTATTAGCTTAACTAATTTTGGACTTGTTTAGTGTCTTTTTAGTACCTTCAATTATTGTGATGTTTTTGCATTTTGTGGTTCGTGGCTTCTTGCTACAGGCTTGATGTTTATATTCATGATTATTTGTTGAAAAGAAAGTTGCATGCTTCTGCAGAAGCTTTTATGACTGAAGGAAAGGTTGCCACAGATCCAGTAGGTAATGTTTGCAAATAAATTAATTTATTATATAGCAAACTGTAAGCTGAATTGCCTGAATTGTTAGATGATTCTGAGTCTTTGACAATATTTTGATGATACATTCCTTATTAATCCATTTAGACTATGGTTATTGTCTCATAGTATTTTTGCTGCTACTCTATCTTGTTGAATTGTCTAAATCAGTGTGAGTATTACCTGTTTTCCTTGTATCTTAAGCTTTACCTTAAGATGTAAATTGTTTCCGCAGCAATTGATGCACCGGGAGGATTTCTCTTCGAGTGGTGGTCTGTCTTCTGGGACATATTTATTGCTAGGACAAATGAGAAACATTCTGAGGCTGCTGCAGCTTATATAGAGGTGCGTCTATTTTATTATATAAAGTATTCAGTGCATTTACTTTCAACCTGGGTTCCTTTATCTCATTATGTTGTCTTTGTGTGTGTGTGTGTGTGTGTTTTTTTTTTTTTAAAAAAAGGCACAACAAATTAAAGCAAGGGAACAACAGCAACTACAAATGCAGCACCTGCAACTAATGCAGCAGCGAAATGTGCAGTTGCAACGAAGGGATCCCAGTCATCCAGCTCTTAGTGGTTCTGTAAATACTAGTAACTCTGAAGGAATGATGGGACAGCCATCAGCCAGTGTCTTGGCGATGAAAATGTATGAAGAGCGTGTGAAACACCCTCATTCCATGGATTCAGAGACATCAACAGCACTGATTGATGCCAAAAGGATGGCCCTTCTGAAAACACAGGCCAATCATCAAGGGTATGATTAGTTTAATCCTTATGTCACTTTGTTTCCTAGTTTACATCTCTATGATTTAATTGGACTGAATCTCATTTTTTCTGGCTCATTTTGCATATACAGCCAGTTGGTGCAAGGTAGCCCTGGAAATATGTCAGCAACTTTGCAACAAATCCAGTCACGAACACCGCTTATAACTGTAACTGCACAGATTATCTGCTTTGCATTCATTTGAGTTAATGTTATTTGTATCTTCTTTTCTTTTTCTTTTTTTCTAATTTCTCTCTGTATGTTTGAACGGTACAATATATGGATTGTAGGATATCAAAAGCGAGGTTAATTTGGGTGGAAATCAGAAAAGCTTGCCTATGGATCCCTCATCCATCTATGGGCAGGCAATTTTACAACCTAAATCAGGACTAGGTGGTGCTGGTAACGATGCCTATCTTTTCCGATGGAAAAATAATTTTGACCATCTAGTTTCATCTTTCTACATTAATGACATATATTCTGATAGTACTTTTTCTTTTTCTTAAGTTTATTGTATGATGCATATAGATTAGATGTTAGGTTTTAAATTGCTTGTTCTGGTCCTCTTGTAAGGTTGCATATTGTTCGAAGAAGACATATTAGATTTTATTTTTGTTATAGGGAACAAATTTAGGTAGCTTTAGTTTTATTATCTGAAAATTTTAATAAGTATTACCTAAATGCTATAATTTGGAAAAGGTACATTAGTTGCAATAAAAAATGTTAGACCAGCAACGCTGGCATGGAATGTTGGGAAGTATCTACATAACATGAAGACTAGTATAGCTGAGACAATCATGCTACAATCAATGTCTGGTATACAAGAAAGATAAGAATCATAAGATTGAGGTAGGGGTGAATTGCTGCAAATTTGAAACGAAAATGTGTCTAGCAGTTATATGAAACTGAGATGCTTAGCATGGAAATTGAAGCTGTAACCTTTGGTTACGGTTCTTTTATTTTTTCCATAGGAGTTTCTTTGTAGTAGTACTTAAACATTTTGGATCTACTAGAGCATTTAGATAAAATTTTCCTCTTTTTAACCTGTTTATCTCAACTGTGTACCCTCAGGACTGAATCAGGGTGTCTCTGGTCTTCCATTAAGGGGTTGGCCTCTAACTGTAAGTTTCACTCACCTTTTTCCCATCGTTGTTGTTCCCTTTTTTTATGCAGATCTAGATACCTTAGACTCGATTGAATTTTTCTAAACTGTACAGGGCATTGATCAGTTACGACCAAGTTTGGGTGTACAAATGCAAAAGCCCAATCTGCAGACTCAAAATCAATTCCTTTTGCCATCACAACAACAGCAAGTCTTGGCACAGGCTCAGGTACAAGGAAACCTTGGAAATTCAACAAACTACGGGGACACAGATCCTCATAGGTTTGGTCAATTGTCTGGGGGTAACTTGAATGCAAAAGATGGTCAATCTGCTAGAAATGATGGATCCATATGCTCCCCTGTGCAATCAAGTTCTCCAAAGGTTTGAACATATTCCTGATGTCAGAAGGCCACTCATGAAAATTTGTAGTTTACGATTTCCTGAAATGGAGAAGTTATATATGATTGAAATTAATTTTGGGTTCTAATTTTTAAATATGGAATAAGGATCACGTGTCTGCTTCGTATCTTCAAGTTTTGTGTGAGAGCAGACAGTGGAACCAGAGGAAGAACATGGGATGTGAGATATAAATAAAATGTGTATTATTAATGTATGAGTGTCCCTTATATTAATAGAATGCGCAGCTTCCATGTTTGTAAGTGCACCGTAACGTGTGGTGCATTGACATGCTTTTATTAAATCCTGCTCTTTCCTATCAGGTTACATTGATATTTGTAACTCTCTTAGCTGGCATTGCTTTTTTTAGGCTGTTTTGTGGTGGTCAGTATCTGTTAATATGGTTTATTTGCAAATACCTTGTGTCTGAGTAGTTATGCTGGGTGCTTAACAGATGAAGATAGGTCAAATGTCACATTCTTCCTCTCAACAACAGGACCAATTGCAGCAGCAGCCACAGCAACTGCAACAGGTTGTACTTCAATGAGAATTAATTGAAGGATCTCATTCATGAGCTGAGCTGTGAGCTACTTTACAAGAAAAAAAAAATTTGCAGCTACAATATGACTCCCAATTAAAATATGCTTTTGTAAATGGATTTTTCTTGAAAATCTTCAACTCCTGGATAAATTAATTCACATGTTGTGATCGTTCATTACATTGCAGAATAACAGAAAAAGGAAACAACACACTTCTTCTGGAGCAGCTAACAGCACTGGCACAGGAAACATAGTTGGCCCTTCACCAAATTCACCACCGTCAACTCACACACCTGGTGATGCAATAACTACTGCAACCAGTTTGCAGCATGTTAATAGTGTTTCTAAAAGCATGATATATGGTGCAGATACAACAGTGGGCCTTACATCATCTTCCAATCTGTTGGTAGGCCATCTGCAGACTTTAAAATGACTTTTGAAGCCTGCAAAAGAAGCACACTCTAGTTTTATGTAAACACAAATGCACAAGCATCCTTCACCAAGGATTTATCTGTATTTATTCTAGCAGTATATGAGATGTATCATTTAACCTAACTCAAAGCGATAATTTTACCTTTCAGCTTAGACATTAAAATCTTAATGGCTAATGAAAGGATGCAACTGATAGACTTGTTTGGTTTAGCTAATAGTTGTGTCAATATGTATTTCATGAACACTTGCATTAGCGTACAAGTTAAAAAGCACTGAAATTACTTCTAATAGCATCATTTATTTGTACAGGAAGACATAGAAAGGTTCGATCCTTTGGAAGAAAATATGGAGACGCTGCTTCCACATGATGGAAGTGATGGAAGGGACATCTATGGAACCATTAAACAAAATCCTGCTGAGCACCAAAAGGAGTCTACTAAAGGTAAGCCTTATATATCTTCTGTCTTTACATATTGTTGCATATGGTTTTTTCTGTGCTCACCTCAAATTCTCCATTTCAGGCTTGACTTTTGCTGAGGTTGGTTGTATACAGACCAGAAATAGCAAAGTTACTTGCTGTCATTTTTCTTCTGATGGGAAGTTGCTGGCTAGTGCTGGGCATGACAAGAAGGTATTTGCTTACCTCTTTCCATTTTCCAATTTTATCCCCTTGGTATTAAGTTTATTAACGTAACTTACTTCAAGTGAATAACAAATGAGAACGAGGGTCTTTCACCTTAATATATTGTTTGGAAATTCACTCAGTGAAAAAACAATGGAAACAAACTTGATCATTTTTGGGTGGGTTCAAAATGACAGAAATTTGAGGTTACTAGGGAAAAGATATTGATAAACCTGATTAGCCATTGTGGCAAAAAAATTTCTGAACAGTTGTAACTTAACATAAAGTTACTCAAAAGAAAAGTGAGTTGGCTGATAGAACCTTTAATTGTTCTTGTAGAGAATTTGTAAGCTGGCTTGGCAATCACTATCTGGTTAATTTATTCTATTTGTGAAGTACATATAGGAAACATAGGTTGAAGAAATAATAAGTACTTACCAGAAAGATGACATGGTGAAGTGCATTTTTTTCATTAGGTGGTGCTTTGGAATATGAATACCCTACAAACAGAGAGTACGACAGAGGAACACAAATTGGTTATTACTGATGTTCGCTTTAGGCCAAATTCATCTCAGTTGGTGACTGCTTCTGTTGATAAATCTGTGCGGTTATGGGATGCAGCCAATGTAACCATCTTTCCTCTCTGCTGCTTAAGACTTGGACATAAGTTTTATAGATATCTAGGATAAGGACTTTTGCTATTATATGCTCTCTCCCTTCTCTGTCAATTTTCTGGCATTGTAGACCTTCTTTATGAAGCATGTGTGAATTCCTTTTATGCTACTGTGGTTAAAAAGTTAGTTTATTGTCACAGCCAAGCTACTGTGTGCAAGCATATAATGGACACACTTCACCTGTGATGTCCCTTGATTTCCACCCCAAGAAGACAGACTTGTTTTGTTTTTGTGATAATGACAATCAAATTTGCTATTGGAATCTTAACACATTCTCATGCACGCGAATGTCCAAGGTTAGTAACTCTTTTGTCTAACCTCTTCCAAATTTCAGACAGTTATGGTGCATTACATTTTATTTATACAGTTATTTTTTTTTTTGAATATTTAACTTTAATTCTTGATGCAGGGAGGTATGGCCCAAGTAAGATTCCAACCGAGAATTGGACATTTTCTGGCGGCAGTGTCAGATAAAGTTGTCTCCATCTTTGATGTGGAAACTGATAGGCAAACATTAACATTTCAGGTATTGCTTGTACTATTAGCACTCTGGTAATTGCTTTTTGGCCCTAGATCAAATCTGCTTCCATTCTTGAAATTTTCACATGTTCGTATTGAAGTCTAAAGCTAAGGTTTCATCATAATTTATAGCTTCAGTAGCACATAACTAATACATCTCTTTTTCCTTTTTCGCCTTTTTAAAAGGGGCATTCAGAAATAGTAAACTATATATGCTGGGACACAAATGGAGATTATTTGGCATCTGTGAGTCGCAACTTGGTAAAAGTATGGTCAGTGGCTTCGGGGGAGTGCATTCAAGAATTCAGTTCTGGTGGGAACCAGTTCCATTCTTGTGTCTTTCATCCAAGTTATTCCACTCTTTTGGTGATTGGAGGAATTTCGGTAATTCTACGTGTTCTATTTATGGTTTCTGTTTCCTTTTATGGAGGTATGTTTGAGGCTTGGCTAGTGACCTCAACATGAAGTAGTTATGTTTTCTTAGTGAGTGGTCTTTAAGGGGAAAGTTATTTTGCTTTTCTTTGAAACAATAATTTATGGATGCGATGGACTAGATTCAAATCAACATAGCTACCCTAGATATTTTAGGATGTAAAACTACTATTTCATTCTTTTCATGATATATTCCAAATTTTCTCTTCTTTGGTACATGACATATTCCAATTCGCAAATGACTGAGTTTACGGACTTCACACGAATGATATTCAATTGCATTATAGCTCCCAGCGGCACCTTTGTTTAGCATGCGAAAGGTTAAAGTTGCTTTCACGTCCATCGTTGTTGCATAAAGAATATTTTTACAAGTTTGTCTTTAGCTAACTTTTCCCTCTGTTCACCATGCTGTTTGCAGTCTTTGGAGCTCTGGAACATGGCCGAGAATAAGAGCATGACAATTTCGGCTCATGGGAATATAATTTCAGCATTGGCACAGTCACCTGTCACGGGAATGGTTGCTTCGGCGAGTCATGACTGTTCGGTTAAGCTATGGAAATAAACCATAGAAATATGATAAAAAAAAAAAAAAAGGTCTAGAGCAAAGCCCTTTTTTTCCAGTCCCATGGAAATTTTGGGAAGAAAGCTAAAGACCCAAATGTGGCAGATTTTTTAGTCTAAGATGTATAAATGTGGAAAGTGTAATTTATTTTACATTCTCTTCATAATTCTGCTGTAATGGAGTAGCTCGTCGGCTTTGGCTTTGGGTGAGAACAGTAGCTTTTTTCATACAGACCCAAACTCAATTTCGAATCTTCTTTCCAAACTGCACTTTAATTTCCCAAAAAATTTCTTTTTTTTTTTTTACCAGAATCAAGCCCGTAAAAGAAAATAAGACCGCCATTATTGAAACGTTTATTGAGTTGTCGAGTTGGTGGCATGAATGTAAATCGCATGTAACAGTGAAGATGAGTGCCAATAGCCAAAGATGAAATGCCAGGCCGAAGTGTGAGCATGAATTTTTTTTTTTTTCCTGGCCATCGATTGTGAGCATGATAGGATGCTTATAAATTCCATTTAGCCAGTTTAAGCCCACTTTTGGTGAACTAGTCAAAACAGGTTGCCACTTTAGCTCTTTCATACATTTAAACAAACCCTAATTTTCTAAACATAAGGCTTTGGTGTGGTTATGCTTTTACAGAAAGCCAAAACAAGTCATCATATTGAACTCCGGAGTTTAGATTAATTAGTATTTAATATGTTTATTTGAATTTTATATTTGTATTTTTTTTTATTTTTTATTTTTAGACTATGATTTTTTTATTTATAAAAAAAAAATCAACAAACTAAAGTGACAAATATTTAATTTTATAAGTGGGTTTTTTTTTACTCTACATGGAACATTAAGGTAAAGTTTGGTATTTTTTATAAGATCGTTATGATAACGTAACATCGAGATAATTTTATTATCAAAACAATTTTATCACTCATGATATCAAATCATTTTATTTGATTAGCAATAATTCGTTTTTGAGAATTAAAAATTAATATGTTTGATATTATTAAAAATTAAATATTATCTTATTTAAAAGTATGAAAATAATCAGGTATATTGTAATAGTTATACAAGTTAATATTTTAATATTGTTTAAATAAAATAATTTGTAAAATATTAGTAATATTTTAATTATTTTATAATAAAATTAAATTAAATTATTAAAATAATAAATATATTTATTGAAAATAAATTAATTTTTTATAATATAAATTATATGAAAAACATTTGAATTAACAAATAAAACCAATCTATTAAATTCATAATAAAAAAATAGAAATATTATATAATATATAAAAAATATTTTAAAAAATAAAAAATACACAAATTATTTTTAAATTTGTTATAAAATTTTAAATTAAAAATATTTTATTTTTTAATTCTATAAATCTAATTATAAAATTATCATGATGAATAAATCTCATTATAAAATTGTATCATACAAAATTCGGATCAAGTTTATTATACCTACAAAAAAATCTTGATCACTTAATCTTTAGCTTTTTGACTTAATAAATTTTTATTTAGTGATTAAAATAATTCATACAAGCATATAAGGTAACAATTCTAATCCTTCCATCACCTTCTTTAACCTCTGTCATATGAAAAAAAAAAAAAATTGCCCATTAAATATCCATTAATTTATTTTTAAAAAAAACTAAAAAAAGTCATAAAAAATAATTTGTAAATAAATTATGATAATTGTTATTTACATCCCAACAATTACTTAACACATATTTTACTTTTAATATCCAATATTTTACTTAACACTATTCACACCCTAAACATAAATTTGCCAAAAATATTCAAACATCACATCCCTTCTTTCTCACTTTCCAACAAAAAATCTTAAGAGTGAGTTTTGTTCAAAAAAATTTACAAAATTCTTCGTAGAATCTTGATGATGAGTATTTGTTTTTTTCATTTGATTCAGAATAATCAAATTATAAGATAAAATATTAAATTTTCAACAGTACTTAAAGTTTTAAAATTAAAAGCTCACATCTTTCTGTGATATTATAAGATTCCAAAAAAAACTTACTTTATTTTTAAATTTGACCTAAATAAAAAATTATCACATAGTTACTACCATTTTAAAAATCATTTTTATAATTAATTGAAACTCAATTATAAATTTTTGTCATTGACATCTTAATTTTTTTTTATATTGCAATTAAAATATTTTAATGATAAAACGTTTAATTGATAGTCAATTTAGATGTTTATGTATAGAAATCCCTTAATTAATAAATACATCAATTAAGACATTTCTTCACACAAACGTCTTAACGAATCGTTTATTAATTTTTTTGCTTTAAAATTTTGTGTTATAATATGAATGCTTTTAATCATAGTATGATAAAAATTAACATATCTCTCAATTAAAGTATTTATAACAAGAAATGTCATAATTGATTATCAATTAAGGTGTTTTTTCATACAAGCATCTTAATTATTGCATATTAAAATTTTATTTTTTTCTCGAATACTATGTTATAACAATATGAATGTTATATTGTCTAACCGTGAAGCATAATAGTCTATATTTTATATATCAAATAAGATATTTGTATATATAAAATGACTTATTTGATGTTTTTATCATGTTTAAATAATCAATATGTTTTTTATTATTAATCAAAGCGTTTGTGTACAAAAACACTTTAAATGATTGATCAATTAAGACGTTATACAAAAATATAAAATGATTATTTAAGTCATTTGTGTATAAAAACACATTAAATACTTAATTAATTAAGGTGTTTAAGTAACCAAACACCTTAATTGATTTTTTGAAAATGTGAAAAAAATAATCAATTAAAATGTTAGACCATTTGAATGCCTTAATTGATTTTTAATAATAATAATAATAATAATAATAAAATGATCAATTATGACGTGCAAACTGTCAAATGCCTTAACTGATAAATTTTCTAATATTTTTTCATATCAATTAAAGCATTAATGTTTTGAAACACTTTAATTGATGATATTTTATAAATAAAAATAATAATAAATTAAAATATTTTTTTTACTGTTAAATGAATGATTTATCATTTGAGTATTTATTATTAATAAAATAAAATAAAAAATTATCATCATATATATAAAAAAAATTATAGTAATTATACAATAATTAATATATGTGAATTCTTTCAAATCAAATAAATAAATTTAAAGATAAGATATTCTGAAAATGAAAAAAAAAAATCACACATTCTTAAGAATTACATTTTTTTTTAAATTTAAGATTCTGTTAATTAAACGTACTCTAAAAGATTTTAAATATAATAAAGTCAAATTCAAATGAAAATTTTTTAATTTGAAATTAAAAAGCATAGGATCAAAGAAAAAAATTTGTTTTTTATATTTTTTTGTTTAATTTCGTATTTAATTTGATAAAATTTCATGTTAAAATATTTGGGTGTAATTTAAAATTTTTGAAAATAAACTTTTCAAAGTTTTAAAAAATTTCGAAAATAAATATTCAAAAAATATAAAAATTTTTAAAAATTCAAAGTTTTGGAAGATAAATTTTCAAAAACCTTCAAAAACTTCTGAAAATTTTCGAACATCTATTCCAATAAACCTTTAAGAGCTTTTAAAAAAAAAATTTCGACGATGCGGAAGATGAAAAAAATAATTGACTGATAAATATTTAAATAATTTTATTAAAAGATAAATTTATAATATAATTTTTGAGTTGTATTGAAAAAAGTTGAGGTGCAATTAGAAGTGCTCCTGGAAAAGTAAAAGTCCAAAATATCCTGCCCATAGTGTGTGTATATATATATATATATATATATATATATATATATATATATAACGTGAGGGGTTACTTCACCGCCCCACAAACTTCAGAGTGAATTCAATGGATTCCGGTGAAAGTTTTCTCACGGAACATCAGTCTCCTGTTGCTGCTACTAACTCTGAAGAAGTCCCCGATCGTTTTGTTTGTTGCGTTTGTTTGTAAGTAATAATAATAAACTTTTTCAATGTTTCTTCCTATCTTGTCGTTTCCATTTGTTTTCAGAAATTACCCAATACTATTTGTTTATTTCTTTTTGTTTTGTTTCTTTGCAGGGATCTTCTTTACAAACCAATCGTTCTGCGTAAGATTTTTTTGCTAGTTTTATAGAAAGAACTTAGAATTTTTATGTTATCTATATATATATATATTTTATAATTGTTGCTATTGATTGATTGGTTGACAATTCCTTTGGTTTTTTTAATAAAAAAATTTTTTATACAGATTGTGGTCACATATCATGTTTTTGGTGCGTTCATAAATCAATGAGTTCTCGATACGAGTCTCATTGTCCAATTTGTAGAAACCCATATTCTTGCTTTCCACGCATTTGTCAAACGCTTCAGTTCTTGCTGTTGAAGTTATATCCCATTGCATATAAGAAAAGGGAAGATCAAATTCTAGGTAAGCTTGGTTTCTTTTTCTATTTTCCTTTTCTATTTCATGTTCTGTCAATTATGTTGTTATGGTTGTTGTTAATTACCTCGAAAATCAAGCAAAGTTATAAAATAGAATATTGCTTCGTAGTATAATTTTCAAGAGAAAAATTCTATTTCATAAAGTTATCCTTAGTTCAATAAGACTAATTTGTAACCCAATTTTGCATTGAGATGTTCTGCATATATCTGCCACTCGAACTTTTCAGTAGTCGATTGTCTGTACGTTAAAGGGAGGGATAGTTGTAGGTATTTTGAGATCATTCTCACCATAGCTATTGCAGTAATTCACCTATGTTGCCTTTGTATGCTCCATAGGAGGAAAATAAATTTGGCTACTTCTCACCAGAATTCAACGGTCATGCACATGAAGCAGAGGCTGGTGGAGAATTTAATTACCTCAGAAGTCCTGCACATTCTTTTGCATGTTCAGACTCTCCCTCTACTAGCAAAGAGAAACTTAGCAAACCAGCTGCACAAGTAGAGTCTCATTATAATGGCACAACTTGGACCAAAGAAAATTCTGATGGAGATCTTAATCAGACAAAACCTATTGCTGTGGAACAGAAGGATCAGGTTTCAGTTGTGGATTTGCTTTGTACTGCATGCAAGCAATGGCTTTTTTGTCCTGTTGTTCTTAACTGTGGCCATGGTATGGTGTGCAATTTTTTGTTTCTTTAATTAGCATCACTAAGCCTTGGTTTTCTGTTATATGTGGACTTATTCTTATCTTTACTCTTTGTCAGTTTATTGTCAAACTTGCATTAACATCCCTGCTGATACGATGCTTAGATGTCAAGTTTGTCAATGTTTGCATCCAAGGCATTTTCCAGAAGTCTGCTTGACGCTTGATCAGTTTTTGGTGGCTAAGTTTCCCAAAGAATATGCATTGAGAAGAGACTCTGTTCAGCCCAAGCAAGTTTCTTCCAAGCATGAGAGAGCAACCACCTGTATGTCTTAATGTTCCATTGTATCATCTTGTTTTAGTGTCCATCAAGTGGACATTTGGTTGATTTAGTGTTTAGCTGGATTATATTGTTCCATCCTTTTTTCTGCCAATAGGTTTATTGCCATATTTTTGAAGCTAAAAAATGAAGCATATAATTCCTGATTCATTCATGTTGGTAAATTTGATCTTAAAAAGAGTGATTGTGCTACAATTGTACTGCATTAACTTTGAGTCCTCCACAATATTAGACTACTTGTTATGCTCAAATTTTCAGGTTCCATGGAAGCTGGTAATCAAGACTTCTCACCTATCCAGTTACCTTCAAAAGATCATCTGCCTTTCTCAGTGGAGCCTAGCGCATATACACATATAGGAGTTGGTTGTGATGCTTGTGGGGTAAATGCTTTGTCCCTCATCTCTTATATGAGTGCATATGTGTGTGTATGTTTTGGTGTCACACCATATCAGTCTCTTTAAAAGTTCAATTAAGTTGGTTTTTTACTTGCTCGTACTTCTTTCATTCTATTTTTTCTCCCTTCATCTCCATAAATGACATAACCCATTCTACAAAATTTAAAAAACTTTCATCCTTTATTTTCTCGTATAACATTTTAGTACTTACTTTTACCTGATTAAAATTATTGGTAATTAATCTAATGGATATGCAGAATGCTAGTACATATGTACATGCTTGTTTTGGGCAGTGTCTTCTCATCTCTTTCTGACACTCCGCAGTTAATATCTCTTGATAGTTGCTGGACATTGAAAATTTATAATGATGGTATTTTATTGCTTTAGGAGGGGATCATAATGTGGGATAAGTTGCTCTCTAAGTGCTCTGGGATTCAGTGTTTGTTGGATTTTGTTCAATGCTTTTCGAGTAATATTTATGCTTGACTTAAAGCATAAAGATGAAGGGTTCCATTGCTTTGAATTTGCTAAAGTAATTGAGTCACTTCTCTCTGCCATATAATGGTCATTGCTTGAACCTTATTTAAGTTCATAAGTTCATCAGAATTGCAAGACATGAAGGTGTAGTTAAGTTTGCAGTGAGACTTGAATTTATTGTTCAATTCCTCAGCAGAATCTCAAGCTTACATCCGGTTTATTGGCTGATAGAATTTGTTAATAAAGTAGGAGATTGCTAGTCTTTATTGTTTTATTGATTTTAAATAAATCAGCAGTAAGCCAATAATACTTGAGTTTATACCAGCAGATGTCTCCAATTGTTGGAGATAGATACAAATGCAAGGATTGTATAGAGAAAGCAGGCTTTGACCTTTGTGGAGATTGTTATAATACTCGACCTAAGCTTCCAGGCAGGTTCAATCAGAGACACACCCCAGAGCACAAGTTTAAGCTTATCAAGCGTGACTTTGTCTGAAGGTTGAGGCTGATGACTGAACAACTAGAGAATGTTTCTACTTCTTTTGTCATCTTTGATCATGCCGCTGAAAATTTGGGAAGTGCACCGGTACCTGTTGCTTTATCTGGTGATTCGCAGGACAATACTAGCAATAATTTAGCTTCTCCGTTTATTGACAATGATAGCATGGAGGACCAAGATGATATCCTATTCACCAATTGAATACTGAAGCCGAAAAAAATCCATACAGTGATTATCTGGTGATACAGACTGGTGGATTACTTATGGATCATGGTTCCTTAAGTAGTTCTGCAAATTGGGGCTCCAAGAGGCAAGGTACTATTCTAATCGCCACTGCACTGCAATCCAATTTCGTACATTTCATACAAACCATGTGTAGTCTTTTTTTATTATCGCATGTTTTTACATGTATCCTTGGCCTTTTCATTCACTTCAAATTGAAGCTGCCTTTGGTATGTGACTGCTCAACAACCTCTCTTGTCTGAAGCTGGGGTTTGTTTGTGATTAAGTGACCTGAACCATTTTTTCCATGGTATGTCAACCAACATGTTTTCTCTGCTGGCTCTCGTGTAATATTTGAGCTGTCATGATGGGTGGCTAGTACAGTTTTCGGGCATTGGTTAATAAGCACAGCTGTTTGTTTATTCCTGGTGGTTAACATTGTCTATACTCTATTACTATAGTGAACATTATCTATACTCTATTACTGTACGTATATAATCTGTTTACATGTGTTTTTTGTCCTAAGAATCATTACTTGCGCTTTTTGTTCCTCTTTTGTAAATCATAAATGAAAACTAAGAAATACCCAATTGTGAGTATTTTTTATTGGGCTTGGGCTTTAGATTACTTCTGAAGCTCCTTAATGTATGCGTTTTCCCACGCGCTCTCTGATTGGTTCAAAAGGTTGCAGGCTGTCAGCAAAAGGTTAAAATTTATGCTTTTTAATTAAAAATATAAATAATATATTAATATTAGTAAATTATTTAAATTTAATTTAAATAAAATTTGAATTTAATTTTATTATTATCGAATTAAGTTTGAATTTAAATAGTTTAATTTATTGATCGAATTAAGTTTAAATATTTTTATTTATTATTTGAATAATTTATAAATTTAATTAAAATTTTATATTTAAATATATTTTTTATTATTTTAATTCATAAAATATTTTGAATTCGAGTATGAATAATTAAATTTTTATAAAATATAAAAAATAAATTTATTTTTATATATTAATTAAGTTTAATTAAATAAAATTTTAATTTTAATTTTTGAATTAAAAAATAAAATTTGATTAAAATATAAAAAATAAATTTATTTTTATATTAGTTGAATTTAATTAAATAAAAATTTTATTTTAATTCTTGAACTAAAAAATAAAATTTAATTAAATTTGAACCTAATTTTAAATTTTAAATGGAATTTTAAACTCAAATGTAATATTTAATCGATTACATTACTTTCCGTAATCATTGAGCCACCAAAACGGCTTTCAATCGTTATAAGCGATTTCTTTAGTCCGTGTAATCCACTCTCGCTTTCACGCTTGGTCTAACTTTTTCGGCTAAAAGAATAATATATATATATATATATATGAAGCGGGAGGACGTGAAAAAAGGATTATATGTAGTTAAATAGTAGTGAGTGTCCAAAGTAATAAAAGAAAAGGGCAGATGGGGAGCATTGTGATGATTGCGCTGAGTCATCACACGTTCCCAACTGTACGGCTCTTTTTATCAGCATTGGGAAGCAGGAAATCAGTCAGACCGTGATATTTGTGTAAAATAAATACATAAATTTGTGAAGAATGGGGGGAGGGGGGGGGGGGAATCAGGTGTTGAGTTTTTAGGGTTTCTGGGTATTTCAAATGGTGACGAAGGCCTTAGGTGTCCAATAGGAGACTGCTTACGGATTTAAAAAAAAATCTTGAATTTTACATAAAAAAATTATTGAGATATAAAAGAGTTCACATAAATTTTTTTTTATGAGATATTTTTTATAAAATAAAATCGTGAGATCAAGAGGTCAGAACGAATAATATCTCATAAAGATGTGAATCGTGATAGGAAGACTGATTTAAAACATCGGAAAGGTGAATGCTCGGGTCTCGGAGTCGCGTAAGTTTGGAGCTTAAGTCTCGATCAGTGACAAGTGGTATTAGAGTCAGTCTTAAACCATTTGATTCACGTCAAACCTTTTGAGAGAGGTAAGCAGAGTGACTGGTTTTCGTGACGAGAGCATCATGAGATTGAGTGGAAAAAATGTCACGGACTTAAAAAAGAGTTATGAATCTCACATCGAATATAATAAGAAATTCAGTGGGGTATAAAAAAATTCACATCATCTTTTTTTGTGAGATACCTTTTTTAAGATAAAATCGTGAGATCAAAAGAAATCAAAGCAAATAATATCTCACAAGAATACAAATAATAACAAAAAAACTGATCTAAAATATCAAAAAAATAAATATTCGAATTTCAAAATCGCGTGAGTTCAAAATTTATGTCTCAACCCATGACAGTTATCCCATCATGTTTCATGCATGGCAATTTACCTTTGCCTTTTACCCTTTGCAATTCTGAGGAAGAGTAAGGGACCACGTTCCTTGTACTATTTGCATTTGGTTAGGATGTATTAAATGGTTGCAATATTGGGTAAAGTGCTATAAGATTATCGAACGCATAATTCTCACAATTTGCTATAGGTCTTTCCACTTTTATAAAACAGGAATCCTCACTCTTTTCAATTGCTTAACAAAACCAATTTCTTTACCGTAATCAGACTTCTTCCCAGTTACCAAAATTTTTTTACTGGTGTTTATTTATAATATATATAAAAATTAATCTATAAATTTATCAATTTTATTAATATAGAAATATTTTAAAAAAATTTTTAAGGATGTTTAATTTTTTAATTTTTAATTTTTAAAAGTATTCATAAATATCATACTTGAATACATGTATCCATCTTACCTTCACCAAATGATATCATCATTTGCCAAAAACGCTTGCACTTCTGAAATTAATATTGGAATTATATTCAAGTGAAATTAAAAAAAAAAAAACCAATTTATTGATAATTTTCTGGCTATGAACAATAGGTTGCAAAATCAAAGCCCAAAAGAGGAGAAATGGTTTTGGCGGGAAATTTTGGGCCATAGAATTGTTCTATTTATAGAATTAATTGAGGATAATGTAATGGCCATTGATAATCATGCATCTACCTTAACTCTTTCGTACTTTAGCAAAATCTTGGAATTATTTATATTTACTATGTTTTATATAGACAAATAATAATGGTAAGCTGTAAGTAAGCCTCTTCGGATGATTTGTGTTTGAGGTAGCCAATAGAAAAGGACGCTGGCTGTCCCCCATAACAAATCCCTCTCTTCTTTTTGTCTGACAATCATCATTAAGATTTATAATTTAATTCCACCGTGTCTGTTTTACTTATAATAACATTATCAATCGGTCAAATTTCTTTTTTCTCATGATGGGTTCGGTATATATTATACTCCATTTTAATTTTCAAAATTTATATTAGTATAAGTGTCACGGGTCGAAATTTAAACTTTAAACTTACGTGATTTCGAGATTCGAGCATTCATTTTTTTGACGTTTCAGATCAACTTACCTATCACGGTTCACACTTTTGTGAGCTATTATCTGTTCTGACCCTCTTGATCTCACGATTTTATCTTACAAAAAGTACCTCACAAGACGGAGGTAGTGTGAACCCTTATATACCTCAGGAACCCTCTTATTATGTTCGATGTAAGATTCAGGACTCTTTCTTAGGTCCATGACATTCTCTCACATCCAATCTCGTGACGCCCTCGTCGAGACGTTCGACGTGTATCGAACGGTTTAGGATTGACTTTGATACCACTTGTCACGAGTCGAGATTTAAACTCCGAACCCCTGACGCCCTTGTCGAGGCGTTCGGCGTGTATCGAACGATTTAAGATTGATTTTGATATCACTTGTTACGAGTCGAGATTTAAATTTCGAACCCGCGTAACTCCGAGATTCGGACATTCACCCTTCCGACGTCTCAGATCAACTTACCTGTTACGGTTCACACCCTTATGAGATATTATCCGCTCTAATCCTCTTGACCTCATTATTTTATCTTACAAAAAATACTTCACAAGATGAAAATAATATAAACCCTTATATACCTCGAAAACCTTTCTATTATGTTCGATGTGATATTTAAAACTCTTCTTTATATTCGTGGCACAAATACTTTCCGCCTAAAAAATCACTGTTTTCAAGTAGTAGATCTTTGATGTCAGGGGACTATAAAGTTTATACGTATTGGGTAGGACCAGGCGATGATGGAGCAACCAGAAGAAAACATCGTGGAACTTTTCATGTTTCTCTCCAACTTAACACATGAAAAGAACCTGAACCAATATGGCTTAACAAGCCTCGAGATTGGCCCTATGTGATTCAATTTCAGCTTGGATGTGGACCAACGCCATGATTATATCCAGGTTTATTTATCATCACTCATCACCTCCTTTTGATGATTAATAAATAAAATTTTTTCAGCATATACAAGGAAAGAGAGAATCTCTCAATTGTGGGTAATTTTTAATTATTGATTGATTAAAGATTAAACTATACAATGCAACAATGTTTAAAACTACTTTAATTAATTACTACTTTTGTTTAATAAACTTTATTTGGAAACAATGAAAAAAAAGGGGTCTATGTTTCCCATGCTGTTTCATGGAGTATTTAGCAATGACGTAAAAAAAAAAAAAAAGGCCTCTGATTACAGCTGGTAATTGTAACCCAATATTGGAAGATACTTACAAAATGTCTGACCAAATCCAAATGCCCTTGCCCCTGTCGGTGGGCAGTAGAATCCCCTCTGCTTTGACTGTTTGCCCTACTGAGTTTAAGCAGGACAAAAATGGTTTAGCTAGCAAACACTGTGAAAATGAACTCATAAACTTGAAAAACAGAAACAAAAGAAGTGATGATATTTGTGGACTACATTGAACCAAAAGTTGTGCTTTTCAAATACCAACCACAAAAAAAAGTTTGTTTTTTTTTTTGGTTTGCAGGGTAAAAATGCCTTTCTGATTAACTCAAAACAAAAGTTGCAGGTTTTAACTGATGCCCATTGAGGTTAAGATTGTAAATTTGAACCCTAAGAAATGTGATTTTGATAACCTTGATGGCAATGGTCTGAGAACAAGATTAGTGTTCCTTAGTTGGACATTTTAGAGGGCTTGAGGGTCAGACTCCTTAAAAATGTTATAGGTTGTTTACGTAATTTACTTATTTATTTATATTATTATATTTTAAATTCTAAAATTAAAAAAGCATCAATTGGTATAAGTTTCTGCTTTATTTTTCTATAATTATGAAAATAGAAAATTGATAAAAGAGGTTTAATAATTCATAACTAGCTTATTTTTAAAAACAAAATTGTATTATCCAACTGTATCATCTAACTCATGAATTTGCAGAGTCAAGAAAAAAAAATTTTTAAGGAGGGGAATAATAAAAATGGTAAAAGTTTTTTTAATGGAAAAAAAAAAAAACAAAATGCATTAAGAAGTAGAATTAATAAATTATAAAAATTATAAAATATCTGAATGGGCCAAACCAGCCAATCAAAATATCATTGAAAAATAAATAAGGTAACTGTTCCTTCAACCCCAACCCTACCTTTTTTTTTCTCTCTCTCTCTCACTGTTCTTTTCTTTTTTTTTTTCTTTACCCTCCCTCGTTCCGATACAAAAATTGCTCCTTCCTTTTCCCTCCACCCTCCATTATTCTCCCAACTCTGTTTCTCTGTTTTTCCTCTGAAGAGGAAAACCCTTTTTTGGATACCTACGTTTCGAATGCAAATAGCAATGGTTAGAATCATAAACTCTCTTTCTCAGTGAACAGAGGACAAAAAGAAATGGGAAAGTACATGAAGAAATCTAAGATAGCAGGAGATATAGCAGTGATGGAAGTTTCCCATCAGTCAACTTTGGGTTCCCGTACCAGAGCTGCTAAAACCCTAGCTTTGCAAAGACTCCAAAAAACAACCCCTTCTCCGTCACCAGCCCAAGCTGTTGCTTCAACCCCAGATGTCTCTTCCTTTTCTTATCTGCAGTTGAGGAGCCGTAGGCTGGAGAAGTTGCCTTCCCCTGTTTCTAATGAAACCAAACAGAAACAACAGGGGAAAGAGAGTAGTTTCAGAGAAGGGAAGAAGAATGGTGAGAAGAAAAGTGAAGGGTGTTTTGGTAAAAGCAGGGAAGTTGTTCTGGGAGTGGGGCTTTGCTGTGAAACAGAGGAGGCTTCTTTTGGAGAGAACAATTTGGATTTTGAACTCAGAGACAGGTACTTTTTTTTTCTCCTCTGTTTTTCTTCTTCCTCAGTTATTATCTTCTAAAAAAATTTTTCTTTTTTTTTTTTTTCGGCTTTCGCACTTTGAAGCTTTTCAGCATTGCTTTGCTGGTTGGCTTTCTCTTCTTTTTCCAATTCTTTTGTTAATGTCATGTCCTTTTACTTATGTTCTTTTGGGGGCTTTCATTTCTCTTTCATTGCCAGTCTTTGCCATTTGCTTTGGTTAAAAGTGGGAGAAAAAAAAAGCTCTTATTTCTAGCTTACACGAGTTTTCTTCACTTGTTTCTTCTTTTGACGCTTTAAATGAGATTTCTTTGCAGTTTTCAAAAATGGGTTTTTTGTATTTTTTAACATATTGGGTGTTATATTGGAATCTTTCTTTCTTTCTTAAAAGTTATTAACTGTTTTTACTCTGTTGTCCGTTCTGCCTGCTTACTTAGGTTTTGAGAGTAGGCTGCTTCCTGGACTAAAACACTATAAAAACCATAAAAGAAATGTCACTGAATCTTTGTTTCTAGATGTTCCCTGGTCATGAAAGTTGTTACATCATTAATTTTCTTCCCAACAAGCTTTTAACTTGCTTTTGTGTTTTTTTTTTTTTTTTAATTTCACTTTCTTGAGATGCATACCAGTCATTACATGAAAAGGTTACTGAATGCTTGTGTCTTATGATGAATTATTTTCAATGAGAAATAGACAGTGTTTTGAAACAATTTATTCCTCCTCAGCAGACTCATTACCGCTACAACTTGCATTTTCCCATATGGTAAAAACTGCACTATATATTAGTATAATGAAATCTTCATTCTCTGGTGTTGCTTTTAATTTATAAAAATAATAATAAAAAAAGATTGAGATATTGATGAGTAAAAATAATTGAAAATTTTTAAGTGCATGGAATCTGTTAATAACTAGAAAAGATTTTCTTTATGGGAAATTTGAAGTTCATTGTACCAGGAGAAAAAACCAGTTTGTTTGATCTTCCGGATAGCAATCATTTGTAATTTTCGGCTCTGCTTTGTCCTTTTTCTGTTAATAATAGTGAAAAAAAAAGAAAAGAAGAGAAGATAAAAATGAAGAAAGATAATCTTTTGGCAATACCGGGCAGCAATAACTGTTTAAGCTCATCTGTGTTAGCAATGACAAATCATCTTCATGGGGCCTAGTTACAGTCAGACTCTAACATGAATGTGGGATTCTCTGTGTTGGGACTAGCAGTAAGTGACAAAAGGTCGCAAATTTCTTGCTTCTTATCCTATTGTTGCTCTGCTCTCTGCAAATTTAAGCTTGTCTCTTTCAAATGCTTGTCTCTTGTTTATATGAGTTTTTCTTCTCATCTAATGGGAATATTAATTTTGTCTTTGTTTATAATTAAGAGATTTTGTATTTTTATTAATGTCTAAAATATGTTTTACTTTGCTTAGATGAAAATGAGAAAAAGAGGGTATTATTTTTACTTGTAGAGCAAGTTTAATTCATGATCCAAAGTGAATATTGTATGGTTTGGTGCCTTTTTTTGTTTTTGTGGTGGTATTTTGTTATGATATTATTTTATTCTTTTAGATAATTTATACCTTTTTATGCAGGAACACTAGAGAAACCACACCATTTAGCTTGATAAAAGACTCGGAAACCATTGTAACCCCTGGTTCGACCACAAGTCTGAGAAGCTCCTCTTCAACTCACCGAAGAAGGTGGAATGATGTGCAGAGATCCATCCCAACAACACTTGAAATGGAGGAATTTTTTGCCTGTGCAGAACAGCAACAGCAGCAACAATTCATTGAGAAGTAAGCTTCTTTCAAAAAATTTTTAGTCATTTAATGTTTTCTGGCAAGCATGGTAGTTATAATTTCAATGTTGGTTTCCATTCTGAATGACTTTAGTCTTAAATAGTTCGGTAATCTGAGCAGCCTAGTCTTATGAATATGCTGGATTCTGCAGGTATAACTTTGATATTGTGACCGATTTGCCCCTTCCAGGACGTTATGAATGGGTGCAATTGATCCCATAAGCTGAGCCCCAACAATTCTACTCCCTGACTGATTGCATGCTCAAAGATTTAAAAGCAGGCAGTGTGGTATAATATTCCCATTGGTCTTCTGAGTTCATGTAAAGATTGATTGAGCCTTGACTAAGATGTGTAATTTAAAGATCTGGGACAAAACAGAGCTGATGAATTACACTAACCAAATTATATACCTGAAATCCTTTGTTCAAAGGAAAAACAAATAATTTAATGTTCTGCATTTTCATCATTGTTACCGATTTAGTGGTGCATCAATGTTTCTAGGTTTTCTTTTCCTGTCTTTTCTCCATGTAGTTTCACTTTTGTCTATACTTGGGTAGGGATGAACATGGATGATCTCTGGAAATAAATGCAAGTCATTTGATATTTATTTACCTGTGTCTAATTTGGATTTAAGTTTGGCTGCTGATGTCTGTCAGTAAATCGTAAAAGTATCCAATGCAAGATTTTCTTCAAAAAAATCAAATTGTTTTTCTGCTGAATCTTGCTCCAATTCAATGTTTAAAGCACAATTGGACATACAAGTTAGATTTCTAACCACAAATCAGTTTTTAGTATTAACTGGTCCAGTACCAGACATGTCATTCCACACGTTATGCCTTACGAGAGAGATTTAAACTCCCTTGCATCCCAATGTAGTTGATTTCTGTTCTGCTTATTGACCGAGAAACGAGCCCCATTTTGTTTGTACTGACATTTGGGGTTCAAGAACACTAACCGTAGTGGGCCATTGAAGCAATCTATAGATTGTTTTGTATTATAAGTTTTATCTTACCGGAGAGCTTAGGGTTCTCTTGCCATTTGACAGCATTGTATTTTTCTTTTCTTTCTTTGCTGTTCGTTTAATTTTGTTTGCCTCAAACTTCTTTTTCTTTTTTTGTTCATCTGAAATTTGTGATGAAGCACTAAAGCTGCTGAGTTTGTCAAGTGAGCATTAATTGAATGTGCATGAATGCAGAAGACCTCTGTGTGAGTGAGTGTGCCCTATTCACATGGGATACTGTACGTGTCTACAGAGCTTTTTAGTGACACAGGTTTCTCAACATGTTCAACCTTAGATTTGATGATGTCTCTCTTTTTCTATTTCTATGCCTGTGCATGCACTGCATCCATTCATTACCCTGTAGAAGACTGAAAGTTGCAAACTTGTTAGGCTGGCAGGTGAAACCAAATTTCATGCTTGTGTCTGTCCTGAAATTTCTTTTTTCTTTTCGGTTGCAATGCATAAATGGAAAGAAGGGAACAAGACAATAAATTTAAGCAAATACCTGTTCTAATTTGCAGACATATTTCTTCGTTGGCTGTCTTTAAAAAATTTTTAGACTTTCGTAGACAGTTATGCAATTACAAAATTTCAGGGGAAAAAGGCGCTTTTTTTTTTTTTTTAACTTTCATGTTCTTTTTATCATCAATATAGGTGTATCAGAAACACAAAAAGTACCCTGAATCTACAAGACAAATTTGAAATCACAATTATTGCTTAAGGCTAGAAAACTGCTACTGTTTTTATTGACGTAGGCCTGAAGGAAGTGTCGTCACTGATGCAGCGCAGATTTGGCATTTACTGGTTGAGGACTACGGATTATTAAATAAAAAGAGTTCGAGAGCATCTGATTCGTGGCTGTTTTTCATGACCGACAGGACATGTATATGTAACTGATGAGAGGACGATGACCGGCAAATTAATGTTGGGGCGGTGACAAGAACAAGATTCGCCAAGAAAGAATGCGAGCCATGCTTACTGAACCGTGCAACAGACGCTTAAAATCAGCTCCAGAATCCTGCCAGCAAGGTACAAGTCAGTTGGGTCCCTAACTGGGGCTGACACCAAACCCATGAGCAGGTTGCTTTGCTGTTCAACATCTCGTCTCTCAACAACCCAAAAAAACCAAATCTATCCACCAAAAAATTAACCAAAAACCAGGGTTGATAGTTTACTATCTCATTTTGCATAAAACAAAATCAAGTACTGTAGGAAGGTAACAGATTCTCAGAGAACCGAAAGTCAAGCATTCAAATAAGTAATGTTTAAGAAATCGGAAAATCCTCACCATGCACTTACATGGCAAGGAACTGTAATGTTCCTATTTCTGTAAATTAGACATCTTTCTGGTTGTTTAGTTATTTTTACAATTCCCAAACCAGAGTTAGTTGTTTTAGAAAAAGAGTTGACAGTTTGTGGATTATTTCATGGTTTTACAGGTAAAATCTCAACACGGGCAGTCATCCAAAGAATTTTTTTTTTAATTTCTTCTCATAACCTGCTTACAAGCAAAAGGGTTTTCATTCTTTTCTCAGCTAACAAGAAAAGTGCTCGCAGAAATACTTATCCCTTGCAAAATAAAATAAGAGGACAGATGTTGATTAGGAAATAGAAAAGGAAAACCAATAACGAACACTGATGAATTGCTTCATGTAAATATATCCAAATTATAATGAGTTAATAAGAGTGCTAACAAGGAACAAATGCTGCAACCATTTTGCCTTACAAATGAAATGTACTACTCAAGATGCAGTCTAGCACCCTTCCTTTTACAACCAAAAAAGAAAGGGTCTAGCAAGTAACACACCTCTCTTTATGAAGTCAATTATCAGATTGCTTAAACATGCGAATGTAATTGTTGCACATTTCGTGAACTCCATTAAATTTACTTCAATTGCAGTCAAAGGTAAGTTCACATCTCAAATGACAGCAAAGATGATCATTTTACCACTGGAAATGAGCATAATTGACAATGCTGTTTTTCTCGCTAAGCTGGACTGATACCTGCAGTTCCTCAACAGGAAGGCAAATTGGGATCATGGAGTTGATGGTGCAACACTAGCTGCTTGATTTCTTTCTGCCATTTCAACTTCATATGCATCGGTATCTGATGTTTTCTCACTTGTCGTAGCAATCCTTTTAAGTTTAGCGAGTTGTATAGCATGCAGCTCATATCTGATAAAGAAGAGGACAAGTGTTTGAGTTTGAATATATTGGGCTTGTCTGTGCATGCATCAGTGGTTAACTGTGATTAATAAGAGGAATCAGATAATCTTACACTATAATGAACCAGTAGGCAACAAAACCAGAGGTAAAAATCATGATTAAGAAGACCAAAAATTTCACAATCTAATGCAATTGAAAATATAAGGAATAATCATGGGTGCTATTCAAAGCAAGCTGCTTATCTGTCTAAATCTTGATCACGATTTCATAAAATATAAAAAGAAGAAAAGCAGTATGGAAAAAAAAAACAGCAACATTGTGAGTCAGCTACAGGTAGTCCATACATGTGGGCCAACATGACAGGCCCAAACATCCTCATCTGGAAAAAGAATACTGCTAATTACTGAAAAGATTCTTACGCTGCCACTGTTAAGGCATGTGCAACCCAAAAGATTCACTGTGACACTTGATGGTGAAGAAACTTTTCCAACGCTTAAGCATTTCAGGAACCTTTACAATGCATTGTCTTGGCAAATAGAAAGCTGTTGGTCCAAAAAAGGAGTTGAAATTTATGCAGATGTAGCTGCTGTGATAATCATAAAGCGGCAGAGATAATGGTAGGTCACCAAACTAGAAAAAAGATCATGATGTTGGTCATTTGGTAGTAGCGGCATTGCAGCGATGGTGATGGTGGTGGTGGTAGTGTTGGCCCAGTGCCAGTGTTAATTTGGTAGGGAACCAGCAGATTTCTTTAGGTGGTGACACAAAGAATAATGTTGAAAAGTGGGTGGTCAAAATGTTTAAAATTAGCTAGGGTGGTGAAGCAAGCAGGAGTATGGCAAGCAAATGATAGAATTGGTAGTAATCACGGTGCTAAATGAACATTATAGGTGTTACAGTTCCTTTCTTCAGTTTTATTTTTGAAAAGGGTTCTATTCTTTGTTTAAACCAGTGTTGCCCCCCGACCCCCCTTCCACAAAACACACACATAAAGAAAAAAGAATTATCCACTTTTTTTCCTAATTTCCAACAGAATGCATTGCCTTGTTTGGGTTTATAGATGATAAAGTTATCAACTAAATTGATGATCCCCATCATTACCTTAATATTCTTACAGTTAATTTAGTATTTCTTTCACCATCCAAATAAATTCTCTGGTTAGTAGAACATACTTTTGCATAACACAATTAAGGACATAAGAAGGTCATCTATACCAATATATAATGCAACTGGCCAAATTGGCTCTCACTAATGCAGCCTCTCTTTTAAATATTTCGAATGAATTCGACTCAACTCAAGACTTGATTTTCATATTTATTTTCACATGTAAACAAACTGCCAGTCTCCTATTTTTCCATGCTTACTCATGTAGATGAGGATAATTGTGAATTATCACTTTTATTCTTAGAAAAAGCTCAAAGATGGCAAAGAAATCACAGTAATCAAGTACAAAGTATCGGTAAAACTATTGCAAACTTAATTACATTTCCCTTATTTGAGGCACAAATTGTTTGCAAAATATAAAATGCCCCTAAAACTTGTATCAAAATGAGAACAGCTACAACAACTCTCAGGTGCAAGCCTTGCAAATGAAATCATAGATACCGTTAGGCCTTCTTGAAGCCATAACAAAAGTCAAATCATGGTGTTACATTCTACAGATCTACTCTAGGGGGCTTTAGACCTCCAAACAGCTATTATTACATCACACTAAATAAGAACCATGGAAAAAACTATGTTGGATGAATAGCAATTCAAAAACCAGCTTGTTTGCAATTCAGTTTTCAGCAAGTAATGATTTTCATGAAAAAAGGAAGTACTAATATGTAATAATCATGTATTATTCAAAAGAAGCAATTCAAGACTTTCTTTCAAGATGTAAATTTTCACTAAAGGAAAGGTCCGTATACTACCAATATGTAGGCAAATGATTCAACCAAAGGGTCCTTTTCTTTATGAATACGCAAACAAATTTGATGAGAGGATGGCAATATAAGCATCAGAAATGCATTCTTTTGTCATGGGATTAAACTCATAACTCAAAAGAAATAGTGGAAGCACAGATTCAAATCCACAAACGAACAATATATACACATGTTCCTTGTTATAAATTCCTAATTACCATGAAAAGAAAGAAATTGAAAAAAAAAAAGTTGTAGAACTTACTCAGCCACATGGCTCTTGACAAGCGCGAAATATATCCTCCAAAATTTTTCCTCCTTCAAGTGGCCAGGGCATAGCTTAAATCTAAGCTGTGAAAGCTCCTTAAAAAATATATAAATAAAAACATAAATTAATAGAAAGAGAAAAAAAAATAAAAAGGGAAAAAACCAAACCTTCACTTTTGAAAGTACTAAGACAGCATGCCGCTCTTGCCAATCAGAAAGATCCTTGCGCACATTAGAAGAAGTTTGGGTTTCACTGTTTGAATTAGCTGCCTCGTTATCTGAACACCAAAAGTTTCAATCAACAGATTTTCTTTTGGAATCTCTAAAACGAAAGAGAGAGGGATGGGCGGTGGGGGTACCTTGGAGAGGGAAACTCTTGAAGGTTTCTAAAGTAAAAGACTTGACATAATCGATTAATTGTTGGGTAACGCCAAGCAATTCTTCGTCTTCTTCTTGGTTTTGTTGATTTTGCTCAGAATGGATGGGTTGGTGTTGATATGGGGTGTTGTTATTTTTACTGTTCCTTGAAACACTGCGGTGAAACCACCGTGACAGGTTCATTGTTGTCTGGTCGGAACGCGGCGCTTTGGCTTGGGAAGCTTTTCCAGATATTTGAGTCCAAGATTAGTAGTTTTCTTTTTAATTATTTGTCTTCCTTCCTTTCAAGCTTTATTTGTTTAACTCATATCTATAAAATAAATTAAAACTATCCCCAACTTCCCAACTTCATAATTTACTGTCCACATCTTTATTGAATTTGGAAATAGTTTAAGAATATAAGGTTTAAATTAACTGTTTATATAAGAATGAATTAAAAAAAATCAAAATCTTGAAGCTTTCTAGTAATAAACAAAAATGTTATACATTTAAATTCTCTTTAACCTTAAATCTCTAAAATTTTAAATCAATATATGAATTGATAATCAATTGATATTATTAATAGGTTCTTAATTTATATGAGATTAAAGTTAGGGAAATTTAGTTTAATTCACCCTTTACTTTGTTTTAAGATTTTATTTAATAAAAAATAAAATAAATTTTCATCGTATTCTAATCATGTTTTATGATCGAAGTCTTTAAAATTTAATTATAAAATAACATTATAGAATCTTTTTATCTTACCGTCAAATGACCCTTAATATATATATTAACCCTTATAAATAAGATATGTATATTTTTTTCATTTTATTAGGAGTAGTTATATAAAAAAAAAAACATTGTTAATTAAGGAAATATTATTTTGTTTTTAAAAAATTATTTAATTTAATATGTTAATTAATTTTTAGATTAATTAAAATTGATATTTGAAGGTTAAGAGTTCAAAAAAATTTATATATATAATTTATTGATAAATAATAAAATAAAAAATTTAAAAATAAATAAAGAACTTAACAAATTTAATAATATTTTGATAGTTGTATATATCAATTACTTTTTATTCTCATATATTTCTTATAAGATATTTTTGGAATAAGTAATTTGTTTATTTTATAAAAATAATAATGAAGTAGTTTATAGATAGAACTGGTAACTCGATATAGAAAGCAAAAGGTTTAATATTAACCACTTCAAATCTAATTCAATTTAACCTGTGAAATAAATAAATTAGGAAGCCAAAAATTAAAATCAACCCTCTTGAATCTTGACGAATTAAAAATTGTCATACAAACTTGGAGAAAAGTGAAAAATCTCATAATAACAAGTTTAAAACCTGGTTAGCCTCATTTTTTCACTGAATCCTTTGACTCTCTTCCTTTGCCCACGGGCCACGGCTGCGACATTAGGCCTTGTTTCTCTCTCGTTTGATTCTTCAATCACTTCTTGACGTAGATATATAGGGCATTGGGTTATGAAAATTCTCATGCGAAGCGTTTGTTTCTTCCTCATGTACCCCAACTGCCTAGCCTTTAGAGTTTTGGAATCCTGCTATGCCTTGGATTGTTGTATTTATATATGGACAAAGTTCACGTCCCATAGTAAAAGGTCATCTATCAAGCAAGCCAAGACCCAAATGCTCTCGGGTTTTAGCCTCAAAACATGTCGGAGAATAAAGGGCCGGAAGAAAATAAAGAGAGAGATCGTTGCCTAATTTCTGTTTCTTGGGATAGTTTCCGATTGCTAATGTAGTAATGTGTCCGTCCAATATATCTTTGGGCCACCGCTAGTCAGTTAGTTTGATATTGGATAGGCTTTAAGAGGAAAATGTAGCTCATGAAACTTGTCTAGTCTAAGTGGTCAGCAACTAGGAGTTTGCTGGGTGAGTGGGTTTTGTTACCAATTATCAATTAGGAACATCTGGGAATGGAGGGTCAAACTGAAGATACATTTTATGGTTGAATCACTAATAAATTTTTATGTATGCCCCCACATTTCAACGTCTCAAAAATCAAGTTCCTTCTCTTTTTTTTTTGGGTAATTGATAATTTTTTGAACTTTCATTACTATGGTTCCGTACCACAAATCCCTGTAACATTTGTTGGAACATAGGATGTCATAATAATATTGTCTTAGAAACAATGACTTGAAAATGTAAAGCGGAAACGCATGCCGAATAGTGATGATGGGACTGAGTTTCATTCATCAATATGTTTCTTTGCGACAGCAAACTTTCATATTTTCATGTTTTTCTACGTTAGTTGCTTCATTCAAGCTTGGAGTAGATCATTTGAGTTAAAAGCTGTCTGTTTAGACAGAGATTTCAGTTTCAACATTTCCTCTTTTAATACTGCAATATAATTTATTAGGTAAAAACAACACAAAACGAAATATAAAGTATGAGAGAGAGAGAGAGAGAGGTTTAATATCAGCTCTCTAATCTCCATTGCCTTCCATATTGTTCCATGCATGGCCAACGGCCGTGTATTCAGTGACAGGACTGACTATTTTCATGCCAGACCTGGTTTGAGACATTTGACTTGAAATGAAAAAAAATAAATTGTTCATATCTATATGAAACCTGATGAATATGAACATGAAGGGAATGGTGGTGGTAGTGCGAGATATCATAATTCATATCAAATGATATCAAAGTAAGGTAAATTATATGGGAATGGATCCCACGTTGGCCCCTCACTCTCAAGGACCCCAACCAAGAAGGGGTTGGTGGGTAATCATAAAATATCATCAAAAAGTGGCAGCACCGCCTCCCTCTTCCCCTCCTCTCCGAGTTTTGGGCTGTCTTTTGTTTTTCATTTTGACCTTTATCATTGATTTTGCTGTTTGCTCCTTTTAATTTTACACGAGGAAAGTGATTAGATTGCAAAAGCAAAACACTGTAATTATCCTTAAATACTGTTCAGATTTTTATTATTTTATTTTGAAATATGAATTGTGATTACATATATTCCCACTTACAACCCAAAGAAGCTAAACTTATTTTCATCTTTAGATGATGCCATGGAACCGGGTTAATTGGCTTACGAGTTATGGGTTATTACAACATATTACACAACATTATTTGATGAGTATAATAACAAAAAACATTATTTTTGGATTTGACAAAGCAAAAGGCTTGAAGGGTTTATTTATTTGAAACACACAAAAAAAAAGAAGATACTCAGAAACATATTTTAGTACTTTTTTTTTTTAGGATCTCTCTGTATCTAGTAACCACTTTGAACATCGATTAATTTAAAATTGAATTGAATTAAATTTCATAAAAGAAATAAATTCTTTCAAATCTATTTTCTCCATTCATGTAATCTTACCATAAACAATTAATGAAAATGAGAAAAATGACCTCTACTTAATTATGCAATAGGATGATAATGTGGTAAGATGATTTTAAATAAAATTCTACATGTCATCATTTAATTAGATGATGGATATATCAATAACCTAGATATTAATTTAAAATATCATATTGGCACACTAAAAAAAGTATAAGTATTATATTACACGCTTTTAAAAGTAAAGTAACCACATTGAAAATTTTTATATAATACATGGACCAAATATGATCATCTCTTGTATATATATGTATATAACTTTGTATGAAAGCAACTTTAAATATTTAAGTGTTTGGATTGTTGCTAGTCAGTAAAGGGTGGTTAGAAAATCATATCTTGAAAATAAATGTGCATGCTATCTACTATGCGGAAAATATATGAATTAGGGGTCCATTCAACCAATCAAATTAAGATTTTCACGTTTCATCACCAGCATGAAATATCAATTATTTGAATTTTGGTAAGGTACGAATGAATAATACATGATCAAAATTTAAGCTAAGAAGTGTCTTTTTTTTTGTTTGTTTTATAATATTTTCCCCCTTTTTTTTTATCAATTTTTAATATTTAATAAATATTTTTTTATAAATTTTATTTTTTAAAATGGGATCCACTTTACACCATATTTTTTTATTTTTTCATTCCTTTTACTTTTCTTTTTAAGATTTTAAATTTATTTTTTATGAGATCTATTTGATGCTAAGAATATGTCATGCATTATTTCTTTTTTTTTATTATTTTTATATTTAATAAATATTAAGATTTAAAATTTTTTTTATCTCACTAACACTAAAGGTGTATCATGTGTCAAGTTATTTTTTCCTTTGAATATATATATTTATCATTTATTTATTTATTTATTAAAATATTAATATATTTTTATAATATTTGAGTAAAGTGGGCTTTTAGTTGTTTTATTTTCAAATGATATACCTGAGACGGGTTGAGGTTTTTAAAAAGAGACAAGTTTGGAACAAAAATATATTTAGGGTGTTTTGCCTTGAGCTATTTTGATGTATATATAAAAATTTATATTTTATTATTTATTTAATTTTATACATAGATCACATTTAATGTATAGTATTACTAATAAGATAGGATGGTGATAATTATATACTATATTTTATTTGTATGTAAAAAGAAGAATAAAAATTGTAAGAAAAATTAATATCCTCTTGACATATGATTATTCAATCCTCTTCACTATTATTTTTAATTTATGGGATTAAACTTACATATTTAATTATACTTTTAAAAATTATATTAATAATTTAAATTGTATAAACTTTGAAGAAGGATAATTTTGACAATTAAATAAATTATCCTATCCTAATCTTTATATATATATATATATATTAAACATAAGATAGTATAATATTATTTAATCCAATACAAATCATAATATCATTTTATCCTATCTTATTATAATTTTATGCATTAAACACATCTTATATGTATTATATTAATAAAGTTTTTTTTTTAATTTAATAAATTAATATTTTAAGCTTAATATGGGGTGTCAATGTGATACCCTCTATGAGCTTTTTTTTTTTTTAATTTTTTTAAATCTTTTTGTTTTTAGTGTTTATTTTTTATTGGATAAATTTATAAGAAATGAGACTAATTAAGATATTTAAGTGTCATTCTAGTTTTTTTTTTTTTTTTTCTTTTTTAATTAGATCAATTTTATAAAAAAATATATGATTAATATAAATGACAAAACAAAAAAATTTTATCCCTTACAACAAATAGATATTTTTCTAATAATATATAAACTTTAGCCGAAAATGAAAATAAATATTAATATTTTGTTTTCATTTTTTAGTAAAAGTTCAAAGATTTATTCGGGTATTATTTGATTTATATATAACTTAATATAATAATTAAATTTATCTAAGACAAATAGAGCATCTTGCGTTAAAGAAGAATATTTAGATGTTAAAAAGCTGGGTCACCAGGCTACTTTTCCTGTTTGACGCTGGAAGGTAGTAACTGTAAACATCATTTTTTTATTTTTATTTATTATTATTATTATTATTATTATTATTTATTTAATTTTTTTTTTTTCCATTTTTTGCGTTTGTCTTCTT